AGATGAAATAATATACTTTTTTCATTCCCTTAGTTTGAATAGACACGTTTTCAACCGAAAACTTTTAACCTTTTTGTTTATTTACCAAAATAAGAGGAGCAGATAAGAGCGACAGATGGAGAGATAGAGATTTGTCCATACAATTCTTTTTTTTTAGGAAAATCCTGCACAGTATGCCTTTTAAATCTGGAAATATGGCTACAAACACATCTTAGTCTGTTCTCAAAAAGTATTGAGCCCCAGCCCTGCTCTCTGTATATTATATTTTTATGTAATATTGAATGATATTTCATGTAAACCTTCAGGCTGACTCCACTGCAGACAGAGCTCTATAAGCGCTTCCTGAGGCAGGCCAAACCCATTGAGACATTACAGGAAGGCAAAATAAGTGTCTCCTCTCTGTCTTCCATCACATCTCTCAAGAAACTGTGCAATCGTAAGTGCTTAAACCAAATATAAAAATGCTGAATCTGCATGATAGTGATCAGCAGAAAGACTGTACTCTTTTTGTTAGACAAGCTGACAATGTCTAACTAGTTGTCTTAAAATTCATAGTCCGTATTGTATGTGTATGTTTATTTAGAATCTTCTACTGCTTTGTAGAACCACTAACCACTGCTCTGTGTCTCAGACCCAGCTCTCATCTATGAGAAGTGTGTGGAGGGTGAGGAGGGCTTTGAGGGTGCGTTGGATCTGTTTCCACCTGGCTACTGCACTAAAGCTGTGGAGCCACAGCTCTCTGGTAAGAATAGATGTACAATACAGCTCACTACAGCTCCGGTGGGGTTAAAATTCCATACAAGTATTGCATTTCTGCTAGTGCTGTCAAACGATTAAAATATTTAATCGCGATTAATCGCATTAATGTCATAGTTAACTCGTAATTAATCTCAATTAATCGCACATTTTTATCTATTCTAAATGTCCCTTGATTTCTTTTTGTCCCATTATTTTTTCTCATTTTAATGCTCTTATCAACATGGAAAAGTGGATCAGCTTGCTTTGTGCAAATGTTGTTTTTATTGAAAAGTCATCCATTGTCGCCTGGCTTTGACGAGGGGGCGGAGAATTCGCATCAGCTGTGTGCTTGGCCATCAAGTGGTATTTCAGGCTGGACGTGCTGCGATGATAGCTCAGTTCACAACGACAAAACACACAGATCACTTTGGGCTTATCAATGGAACCATTTGGCAACTTTTTAAAAGTAAACTTTCCATTCAGAATATTATTGGCATCCATTTCAGCGTCTCGTGCTCGCCATCCACTCAAAATGTAAAGGCTCTTATAAGGCTTGTGTATACTCGCTGTTCCCGACCTGTCGCGCGACAACGTGACGTCAAAATGACATATTATCTCACTGAGCGCGCCAAACAGGAAGATGGACAGGTCGTACGATCCTTCAATGAAGGAACACAGAGATGCCCAGAGGTGCCAGAATTCATAAAAATCCCATTTTCCTTTTTCAGCTTTGAGCTCGCCAAAGCGGAAAAAAGGAAGAGTGGAGCGCTATCTGGCCGAAATCCTTCAATGAAGGAACACAGAGATGCCCAGAGGTGCCAGAATTCATGGCGTAAACAAGTGGGCGGCATGCTGTTGTTTTGTTTCCGGTCTAGCTAGCCGGTGTGTGTTGGTTTTACGTTACTAGTGTTGCAGCATTAAAATAAAACTACAAAGTTAAACAAACGTGAATCTCATGATAAAAAATACGGCCTAAAATGTCCTGGCGTTAACGCCTATTAAACTGACAGCAGTAGTTTCTGCCAATAGAGCCTCTAAATGTTATACACAGTGCCTGTCTCTACGATTTGAGCACAGTTTTTTTTTTGTAGTGTAAAAGCGCTTTAAGTGGTCAGAAGACTAGAAAGGCGCTATACAAGTACAGGTCCATTTACCATTTTGTAGTTTGCCATAAGTTTGTTTCTGGAAAAATGTTTTGTCTTCCTTTTTATGGGTAAGAAGTTGCTTCCTCTGTTCCAGGGAAAATGCTGGTTCTGGACTACATCCTGGCAATGACGAGGGCTACAACCAGTGACAAGGTGGTGCTCGTCTCCAACTACACACAAACACTTGACCTCTTTGAAAAGCTGTGCAGATCGAGAAGGTGCTTGTTGGGAAACCAGCATTTAATTGCGTCTGTATTATATGATTTGTCAGTCAAACTGAGTGCCAACCCTCCTCTTTGTCTTTTACAGATACCTCTATGTTCGACTGGACGGCACAATGTCCATCAAAAAAAGGGCCAAGATTGTGGAGAGATTCAACAGTCCATCTGTGAGTTGTAAACAGTTTTAACACTGAGAGCTTTGAAAAGCACTTGATCGGAATCTGAAACCATCTGTTTCTCAGAACCCAGAGTTCATCTTCATGCTGAGCAGCAAGGCTGGCGGATGTGGCCTGAACCTGATTGGTGCTAATCGCTTGGTTATGTTTGATCCTGACTGGAACCCAGCCAATGACGAACAGGCAATGGCACGGGTGTGGAGAGATGGCCAGAAGAAGACCTGCTACATCTACAGGCTGCTCTCGGTCCGTTTAACAGAGACATAACATCAAACAGATCAGCACCACTTCTTAATGTCTATTTTAATTACTATTAATTAGTAATACGCAGTAGTTTTCATATAGAGAAAACTTTTTTCCTACTGATAGTTATTAAACAAAGTTCAGGACTTCACAATAGATATGTCAGAGCAGAGAGCTCCAGATAGTTTGACTAGTGTTTGTGTGCTGACAGACGGGGACGATCGAGGAGAAGATCCTACAGAGGCAGGCCCACAAGAAGGCCCTGAGCAGCTGTGTGGTGGATGAAGAGCAGGACGTGGAGCGTCACTTCTCTCTGGGCGAACTCCGAGAACTCTTCATTCTTAACGCGGAGACCACCAGTGACACACATGACAAGTAAAAAGCAAAGTTGTCTCACATGCCGTTTATTCTGCTGAGAATTGGCCCTTCCTAAGTCCCGCTCCTTTTTGCTCTGTGCTCCAATAACAGAAAAGCAAGCCTCATTCAGAACCTCTTCCTTCTTTCCTGTACTTAGAAAAGTCTTGAAAAGACGAACACATTTTGAAGGTGGTTAAAGGATAAAAAGACAAGATAAGACAAGATGTTCCTTTATTGATCCCACATAGAAGAAATCCAAGTCAGACACAGCAGAATAGGGGAATGTAGTGCAAAAAGTAGAGAAGTGTAAAAGTACAAAATGAAAAATATATACACTATATGCAATATGCAGTAAAGTGGTGTGCAAAATATTTTGAGCTGCATATGACTAAAAAACGAATAGTTATTGCGTCGTAAGTTGACGTTTTTTTTCTCTGCGCCAGCGTCTTTTTCCTGTTGTTCCCAGAGAGTGTCTAGAGAAAAAGTGATGCACCCTTTGCAGAAAGGCGCTGGTTTCATCACATGCACTTATTTTTAGGCAACCAATTAAATATTAGATGGAGGACTCATCACCTTAGTAACCAAGAAAATGAAGGAGAATCTTGATATGTCAGACAAAAACAAATGAAAAGAGGGGGTTCTCTACCACGTTTTGCTGTCATTTATGGTAGTGTTGTTCTGTCTCTCTGGCATTCACCATTTCACCAGCTCATGGTTTATACACCTGGCCACCCAGTGGTTTTCATTGTATTCAACATAACAGTGTATGTAATGTATTGACCCAGCCTCTCTTCCTCCCTCTTGTGGTGTTATAGGTTTCGCTGTCGCCGCTGTGTGAATGGCAGGGAGGTTCGGCCTCCTGCAGACGACTCCGACTGTACCAGTGACCTTTCCCAGTGGAACCACTGCTTCGAAAAGAAGGGTCTGAGGGACCAAGTGCTGAAAGCCTCCTGGGACGCCGCGGTCTCCTTTGTCTTTCACCAGCGCTCGCACGAGGACCAGAAGGGTGTAGTTTAGCAGGAGAAACACAACACACTTTCTATCACACTACCACATGGAGTACAGTATCTATTTATTTGTTGTTGAGTTTTTCTGTTGATTTTTTTTATTAAAAACAGAAAAAATAAAGGAGAATGATTGTTTGAATCTATCTGTCATGAACTTCTTCACATACAGTAAATAATGGTATTCACAGGATTGGGGCCAAACTCACGCTATTTGTGATGAGTCATAATGTAAACGTCAAACCAGCTCACTGCTATGAGGAGGCAGAAGGCAAGTGCCACAAAAAGAGCTGATTGGAGGGTGTCAGAGTTCCCACGAGTCTGGAAAACCTGGAAATTTAGAGGCGAGGTTTCCAGTCATGGAAACACCTAGAAAGATACACGGATAAAAGTAGATCAAATAAGGAAAAATAAAGGGATAAAAATAAATAAGGGAAAATAAATGGATTAAAATAAAAGAATGAGGAAAAATAATGGGACAAGAAGACAAACATTTAGAAATATATACAGAAAACATTTATATGCAATAATAAATTAAAAATATATAGAAATAAATGATTTCTTTTTATGCTTATAATTATTTATTTATATTTTGTTCAACTTTTTTTTATTTAGCCTGCTTATTCCTCCTTATATTACTTATTCTTTTACAGAGTTTTTCTTTTTTATCTATTCTTTTTTTATGAATGTGTGTGTGTGTGTGTGTGTGTGTGTGTGTGGGGGGGTGCTCTACATACACTCAACTTGTCATATGTATATTTTAGTTCTTCTCTATATGTACTAGTACTGTCTATATATATTTAGTGATATTATAATCATTAAATGAATCCATTTTTTCTATTGTAACTTACTGCCTTCCCTTTGGTTTTTTTTCTCCTTTTTTGTGAGGTTATTCTGTCACATCATGATTGTCCTGCGGGAGACATGTATGATTTGCCTGTATTTAATTGAACTAGAAAAAAAATTCCATGAGCTCAGAAAAAAAAAAAAACTGACCGGGTGAATTTATTCGAACACCTTTTATCAAGAAAACCATTTTACACCAAGAAGGAGAACAACCAACGCACCAGTTGGTGGCGGTCATGCACGATTTTGCTGTTTGCCAGCCAAAGGAGAGGCGGTGAAGAAGAGCAACCAACCGCTGAATTGAACCAGCGCTGTGTCCTGTTAGTTGGACACTTTTAGCATCGTTAGCAACGTTAGTAAATGATACACGTAACGTTATCGCTAAATGTTAAACAATGGGCGACGCTGCCCGCAACGTAGACCAAAGAAAGCCAAAGGAGATATGCCTGAAGGATATATGTTTCCGAGCTGTCAGGAAACATTTTGCTGCTCTGGGCATACAGGCTATTCTTGGTAAGTGGGGAATATTTAACAGCTAACTAACGTTACCATTTAGTTATGTCCCCATAACGTTAATTAACCTCAAAGAGCTCATTATAATTTAGGGGAATTAACTGTTAGCTAATAGTAGACGCTAACATGTCACAGTGTAACGTTACATCGCATCAGTTTACTTATTTAACGTTAGTTTATGGCGCTAGTAAATGTCCCAAAATGCCATTCAAGAGGTGTCCCCTGAAAACGGAGGGTTCGTCCTCATACCGTGTAACGTTACGTTTGCTTAAGAACTGAATTCTACTAGCAGGGGCGGAGCCACACGGTGGAAACATTTGGGGGTCTCGGCGGCTCACGGTACCGCAGTTCTGGGGTCTTGCTCTTCTACGGGGTCCCCCCCCTTTTAGCGTTACAGCAGCTCTAGCTATTAATTTCCAAGCCATTTGAGATAATAGATAGATAGAATGTAACTAGAGAATTCCTAAAGAAATTCTGATTGTGCCTTGCTCTGGCCCGTGACTCTGGCCCATACATTACTGACACTGCCGAGTAGTTTACAGTATGTGACCTCTACCATTGCTTTGGTATGTGACAGATCAAACTTTCAACGTGTGTGTGTTCATATGAGAGAACAAATAGAAATAGCAGCTTGTTGTTACGGTGATGACGTACGAAGGGCTGATTTGAGAGGGCAGAGAGGCAGGTCAGAGAGCAGAGAGAGTGCGTCTATATTTTACTATATTTTCTGTTTATCGTGTCCTCTCTTCTCTGTCCTTCACCATGACACACACATAATACACGGTTAATCAGCATTCTTACCTGTGTTTAATTCGGCGTACACGTAATCCACCAACCACCACGTATTTTAATAAAGAATCGTGTTTTTTCCATTTATTCCCACGATCTTCTCCCACTGAAATAGTGAGGCTGGTAACGAGTTGATGCGACAAAGTCGGCTAAAAAGTTTGTATTTATGTATTATATTGATGCCGAATTAACAAGAAGACTGTTGAGATATGATGAGTTTTTTTCTTGTGTTTCTACAGTTATGTGCTATTATATAAACAAATAATTGCTAATATATGGTATTTCTTAAATGGAGTTTGGCATAATATTGCCCTGGGATTATGCAGGAAGGGTCATGGTTGAATTAAAATTGCTAAAGTAACTAAATAAGTAATAACCACAATGATGGGAATAATAAGTATGTAGTACTGCTATCAATAACATGAATAACAATATTTATATTAATAAGTAATACATAATTAAGAAGGAATACTATTCTTAATGTGGAGTCATAGGCAGTGTAGATAGTTGAAACTTTTAGAAGTGTCCACCAGACCCCCTACCTCAGAGGTCTTCAACAGGGGGTCCGCGGAGGTACTGCAGGGGGGTCGTGAAAGTTTTGGTTGATTAGACATTTTTTTCATAATCCCCCCTCAATTTTTTCCACAAATTGAAATGTCTTTAAATACACATTAACATGAATCCAACACACTGTAGTGAACAGATAAATGGAGGCAGAACATGTCTTTCAGTCAGCAATGCACACATTCAGTGACACACAGGAGCTCTTTCAAGCTGGGCACCGGTTCATTCACAACACCTGTCCTATCAACGAGGAATCAGAATCAGAAATACTTTAATAATCCCAGGGGGAAATTGCTTTCGTTACATTACTCCATATGTAATAGACATACATATATTAAGAATATATATACAGTATAATTTAAAGTCACACTTTCAAATGTGCAAAAATGGCAAGTGTAAAGTGGTCGCAGGCTTCCTCTTCAGCAGAGGCACATAGCAGGGTGTTGGGTTTGCAGAGGGAGGGATGAAGATGATGATGTCGTGCAGGATCTCTCTCGGTAGATGATGTGGATGGAGTCCAACGGCAGCAGTTCATCATCCCGTCCACAGAGCAGTTCGCTCTCGGTACAATACCGGTCTGCCCGGTCGGTGTGGAGGACATGGACAGGGACGGTCCGTAATGTCTCAGTGAAACACATCAGATAAACTCCCGGTACTCTGCGGGGCTCCGCGTTAATGCCGTTAGTCATTCATCTTGTTGCTAGGAGACCGTACATTGACCATAACAAGAGAGGGGAGACTCGGTCCTTTAAAATGCTATCTTAGCCAAACTAAACCTCGATCCCGGGTTAGGGTTAGGGTAATTAATACAAAAAGTGTGTGTTCACAGCCAGGCTTTGGTTGTCGTGGCAACCAGGGGAGGCCACAGCACTTGAGACTCTTGAGAGAGACAGAAACATTTAAAATGAATCCCCTCGAACCATTGGCCAGGAACGACCAAAATGAAAACCGAAAAAACCGTGAGCATCGTCATCTTGTTGACCATAGGACTGCTGAGTTTCAGTGGCTAAAGTTAAAAAATGTGACCTCAGGAGATTGAGAAAGGAGAGGTTCAACAAGCTCCTCTCAAGATTTCTGCTCTACAATTTACATGGCATTAGATGGGGCCGTGAGAGGGTGTTGCTGGCACATCAGTGCGTTTCTCGCTCAAAATCGCCACGCAGCGCTTACTTCCTGTTGCCAGTAGGTGGCACTATCACTATGTCTTAATATTGTCATGTAGACGTGTTCAGGGCGGGACTCTTATAAAACACATGAAGTTTCATCAAGATTGGACCATGTACACTGAAGTTATGAGGACGTGTTCAGGGCGAGACTGTTACAGAATATATGAGGTTTATTGGAGATTGGACATTGCACACTGAAGTTATGAGTACTGTTTTATGGCTGAATTCAACAAGTCGTCACTGGCACGCGGTTTGACGTACACACAAAGAGCTTACAAATAGCTCAACTTTTCATCTACAGTTTGTATGACCACAGAATTCAAAATGGCCAACTTTGACGGCACGCCACAGACACGCCCTTCAATGTACAGTCACAAATAGCACAACTTTTAATCAGCAATGTTTTTTGACTGTACTGACCAATTTTGAAGTAGATCCGATAAATTCCCTAGGAGGAGTTCGTTCAAATACAACGCAAAAAAATGCTGAAAGTCTGAGAAATGCTGGCAGTGATATTACAGTTTGACATTCGATTCAACCTGGCCAACTTTGAGGGCGCACCGCGGACATGCCCTTCAATGTACTGTCACAAATAGCACAACTTTTAATCAGCAACATGTTTTGACTTTACCAAATTTAAAGCAGATCAGATAAATTGTCTCAGAGGAGTTCGTTCAAATACAACTCAAAAAAACCCGCTGAAAATCACCGGGAAGTTCAATGTGGCCGAATTTGACAGCACGCCACGGACACGCCGTTCAATGTACATGCACAAATAGCACAACTTTATCAGCACCATTTTTTGACTGTACTGACCAATTTTGAAGCAGATCCGATGAATTCCCTAGGAGGAGTTCCTTCAAATACAAGGCGAAAAGTTTGCCCGAAAGTGAATATGTAAATCAAAATGGACGACTTCCTGTGGGGTTTTGAGTATGGGTCCAAGAGGCTTTTTTGTACGTCTCGGCACTTTACACGTGCCTACCGAGTTTCGTACATATCGGTGAAAGGTGGCGCCAGGGCTGCTTTTTTAAAATCCTGTAGGGGGCGCTACAAACACGATTTTTGGTATGTGAGCTACAGGCACCAGTCTACACGTGCCCTGTGAATTTCATATTCATAACTATTACGGTCTCCGCACAGTGATTTACCATGCCACCAGAGCGCCACCTATTCCAACCATTTCCATGCCAGAGAGGTAGACCCACGTCTCAGCACTAAATCATCTGAAGTACCGGTAGCTTCAGGGACTGGAGGTGCTTGCATTTTCTCTCTACCATCACAACGCGCTGCTAAACTGTTGCAAGGAGGATGCTAGCGAGAGGTCATGTGATCACGTCATGTGATCACGTAGGCCCACTAGTCGTGTGACTGAATCCTGCCATGCTGTAGAGAGCGTTGCCGCACCGTGTATTAAGTGGATGTGAGGAGTTTCCGCGTGCGTTCCAATATTTTTGGCGAAGTAATTTAAATACTCGATAATGGAAATTTGCACATCGTCAAAACAACAATGACGATATTATCGCAAACGATATATATCGCCCACCTCCAGCTCCATTACAATCTTTGAGCCATTAACATTGCAGCAGACGTAGGTCTTAATCAGACGGTTGATTCTTCATTAATGACATTTAAAACAACACAGATAGGACGAGAACACTACTGCTTGTTGCTATTGGAGCAGTGCCATGATGGTTTGCTTCCATCAGTATGAACGGCACAAATCATGGAATCTGATCTTTTCAGTTCTGTTTTGGGCCACTTTCATATGTAGTCCAAATCAAACACTGGCCAGATTTTTTGTCATATCAGAATTCATGTGACTTACTCACTCTAGATAGACATTATTCATGCAGTTCACTTCAGGACTGTGACCTACAAATAATGTGAACAGCTAAAGAAAAAAATCTGATCAGAGCAATAAATCCAAATTGAGCACCAAGGCCTGCAGTGTGAACGCAGCCTTATTTTCACTCCCACCACCTAAAAAGAAGTGAAATAGTTCCTCATATAAAAACACATTTTAACATTCATGCATATGGATTATTGTCAGTTCCAACGCACTTAAAATATATTAAATATATATAAATTATATATATTATTGTCCTCCTGGTATCATAGCCTCACCCATTCATAGATGCTGTGGTGAGTTTTATTACTTACTGGTGGTGTGGGAATTTGTGTCCACTTTTAGACTGTCCTAACCAATCTTTTGTTACTTAGATCTTCCAGCGCCTCTCATTAAGGATCTTCTTCCGCACCTGACTATATGTCAGTTGGATGAGCTCCAGCCCACCCTAAATCAGAGAGGTAAGATCTGCAGTCGAAGTGCAAAGATGTTGTGTTGTATTTATGTCTTTTATTTCTTCATAGAGATGATGTAATCTTGTGTTTGCCTTCTCTTAGGGATATCAACTCGCTCTGGATGGGTTGGAATACTGCAGGACATGTGTGGACCTAACCATGTAGGCGGTCTAATGTCTTAAAAATCACATGTATAGTAACACCTAAAACCCAGGGGTAATATGTATCCTGTGTTACCTTTCAGGTCATAGACTTGCACACAGAAGAGGAGGCCAAACATGAAGTTATGAGAATGCTTTTTACTATTGTATTCTATGGCTTCACAAACAACTTCGTCAAACGAAACATCGCAAATTTAAACACGCCATCATTCCTGTGGGCTGCAGCGAAATGTATCAGACATTTTTTACTCACTACGAGCTTGCATAAGCCCCTTCAGAGTTTGACTGCTGAGCAGCGGCCCCTTCTAAACCTCTTAGAGAAGCGTATCAGGAGTGTTGGTGTGTCACAGTCCATTGATCTATCAAAGAGGAAAACACAGACTGCGCTGTATGTCCTCCATCGCCTACTAGACCACGGCGTGGCTAAAGAACTCGTCGTACATGTGCAATGTCCCGTTGTGCTGGCCTGGCTCCTACATGGAAGGGGTTCTCAGTATGTAAACCCAGAGCTGAAGAATGTAATGGGCAGCAAAAAGGCAAACTGTGTTTCACAAGCGGCTTCAGCCAGTGCAGACGAGGCCAGTTGCAGTTCAGGTGTTGAGACCAGGACTTCAGAAGATCAGGATGATGAAGTCACTCCATGCAAACAGTTAAAGTTGGATTCTGTGGCTGTGAAGGGAGAGGAGTCTGGAAAAGCAAAGCTGACTGTGGACCCGCACATTCTCTGTCAGAAATTTACTCCATGTGATGGTCCCTCAGTGGGGGCTTGTCCATGGGGACAGATCCATTGTCTGGAGATCAGGCAGTGTGGGTCCGACTCCCTTAGAGTGCTGAACTCTGCCCTGCCTACATTTTTCTGCCTTCGCTCTCTAACACTGCACAGCTTTTGTAAGTTTTTAATGTGGCATTAAGTTCAGGGGTGGTGGGTTCAGGGGTCCTTTTGGTTATAGAGTTTGTGCTTCCTTGCTGCCAGCAACATTGACAGATTGAAGTCTATGAATTTCCTCTAGCATGGTGACAGCTGAAAACACACCTGTGTGTATCCTTGAGAACTTATAACAGGAGAATCTAATGGCAAAAATACATAATATAATTTATTATATATGTTATACATTTAAAATATTCATAGATATGTTTTCATTAGTGTATAATCACTTGAAAATAAGAATCATTGTGTTTTTGTCCTCTTCTGGCAGATAGTTCCAGCAACCAAATCCTTAATTCACAGACGTAGAGAAAAAGAAAGAACAGCCGTTTCAGTTGCTGTGCTCAGTTGTTCACAGAGGGACACACATTCCTGGTGGCCAGAGCATTAGTAAACAAAGCACAGAGAGGCTCAGGGAGTGTGACGTCATTCTCTGCTTAGGACACCATAACTCCACTATACCTTTACATAGCTAATAGTTGTTTGCTACTATATTAAATATCTAATCTCATATATACATTAAATACATGGCATCTGTAAACAGTATTATTGTATTGATATACAGGATTATTTAACCTTCAAAGAATGGTTATGGTTTTTATGTTTGTTTGAGCAGTGATCTTCAGGGACTCGGATGTGTTGGGCCTGGCCAGGACCCTGAAGCAGCTGTCTGAGAGCTCCCACAGCTCCCTCACAGATCTGAGCATCAGTGTCCTGCCGTACACCGAGCTGGTGGAGATCCTGCTGGACGCGAGCCCCAATGTGACATCCCTGCACGTGGAAATCCAGACTCTGGTGTGGGGACAGCGCTTCACACCACATCATCCCAGGACTGCTGAGTCAGACATGTCAGGTGCTGTGAATCTTCTATCAAAGTGAAGTAACACTTAAAGTGAGCAGGTTTAAAGTGTAATGTACCTGTTGAAACGCTGACCTAGTCTAGTGCTAAGTAACACGGGGCCGGTTGCACAAAACCAACAACCTTCCGATTAGTGGACGACCCACTCTGCCTATGAGCCCAGTATGACTCTTAAAGCTTAATTTCTCCTTAGCTGAGGGACGCAGCTTTAAGGGAGTGTTGCACAGAATCCCTTAAAGCTGCAATAGATAATTAAAAAAAAATAAAATGTGCTGGAACTTTCTCTTTATCCTGACAGGTACTACATGACACAGATAATCTGTAAAAAAAACAAAAAAAAAAAGGAGCCCTGAGAATGAGTCTCAACAGTCAACTACCTTCAACCCAAAGCGTCTTTATATCGTTATCAGTTTTGATTGGTTGTTTTCGTTCAGGCCCGGTGGATTGTTGCAAATACCATTAGCAGCACTAGGGGATATAGTGAAAGTTTCAGAAAATATGACAAAGTTATTTTTATAAAAATGATCTACTGCAGCTTCAAAAGGTGTCCTTAGGAACAGAAAATATGAAGGCATTTACTAAATTAAGCGACTTTACAGTAGTACAATTCTACAGTTCTATGCAGACTGTTTGCTTACATTCTAGTTTAGCAAACTAACATGAATGACCCTTTATGTAACTCGCCTTCTCATTTAGAGTGTAACCTAATGTGCTATAAAAGTTTGAATTTGACAGGAATTATTCTATAAAATGTTTTTCTTTTATTAAGATCGATTAGGATTCAGTTTCTTTACTCTGGTTGCTAAGGTCTTTTGTGCAACAGTTTAACTAACTTTAATGGATTACCAAGTATGATCAAGATGAGTAGAAAACTATAAATAAAAGAATTGTAAGGAAACCTTAGCAGAAGGTGTTTTGTGTAACCAGTCCCTGGTCCTGTATGATCCTCATTACTGATCCTGTGTGAATTCACACTAAAACAGTGTTGTATACCAAATCAACCTAAGGTGACTGTATCCTTACTGTCTTTTTGCAGAGCTGCCCCTGGAGAAACTGACAGTCAAAGTAGCTGAGCTCCAAACAGACCTGCATGTGATCACATCGGTGCTGAGACGCTCTCCACGTCTCACCACACTTCACATAGCTGGGATGAGATTACCAACTGGCTCCTCTCAAAGCCAACTCCTCACCACTCTCATAGGTAAGGTGTGTCTCTGTAAGGGGTTCACCACAGTTTGAGTTCTAGGCCTTCTACACGGTGCACACAGAGCACCAGGGCACGTGTATAGAGGATTGTTAGTGGTTCAAAGTCAGTACTCGTAGTAGTCAGTTTTGAGGCCGATTCACATGTTTTTGTCTTGGGGCAGGTTTGGCTGATAAGAAGAAAAAAAAAGTATATAGAATAACACAAGCATTATCTTTTAAGTTCTGCTAAAATGCGGGTAACTTTTCATTGACTGCTCACCCAGACACTGATACTGTCCAATCTGTTGATCTGTGAACCAAACTGTAGCCTGTCCAATGCTGGACAAGGGCGCCCGGGTAGCTCAGTGGGTAGAGCTGGCGACCCATGTACCGAGGCTAAGTTCGAATCCAACCTGCAGCCCTTTGCTGAGTGTCATCCTCTCTCTCTGCCGCCCTTTCCTGTCTATCTTCAGCTGTCACTATCAATAAAGCCAATAAATACCCCCCAAAAAAAAAAATACTAAAAAATAAAAAAAAAAATTTTTATATAGTGAAAGATTCAGCAAATTTGAGACAGATAATCTGTGAAAAAAATCTAGTGCTCCTAATGTTTACAAGAATGCACCAGGCATGAACGAATACAACCAACCAACCAATTTCACAGACATCTGTCTCATGTACTACTGTCAGGATATAGTGAAGGTTTCAGCAACTATAACCAAAAGTGTATTTTTTAATTTTTTATTATTATTATTATAAATATATTATTATTATAAATATGTCACTTCGTCAGTTAACGCAGTGATAGAGAAGGGCTCCCTTAAGGAAAAAGGTTGAGAACCAGTGCTCTAAGTGCTGTCAGTAGTAACATGTTGTCACCTTTTAGAGTCAAATCACTTCTTGAGGAGTCTCAACCTGGAGGACGTGAAGCTGTCTGATTGTCTTCCTGAGATCCTAAAACTACTGAGAGCCTGCAGGTTGGAAGGTAAGAAAATTAGAATTACTGTAGGAGTAATGTTATAAGGAGTTCGGTCTAGACCTGCTCTCTTTAGAAAGTGTCCTGAGATAACTTCTGTTATGAATTGGCGCTATACAAATAAAATTGAATTGAATTGAATTGAATCAACACCTGTTATTAATGTTTATACAGAAAGTAAGAACAAAGTCAATTGATTTTCTTCCTTAAAATGAAACCACACTGGTGACAGTTTCTAGTCTAGAGTTGCTTTCAGCTCTGTGTTGTCTGAAGGCTTGCAGCTGTGTTTCAGGGTTTTTCCATGTCCAGTCTGTTTTAACTACACTGTGCCAGTTCAGTCTGCGATGCCGTGTATCTACTGCTCCCTCACAGCCAACCTGTGTCTTCCGCTCTGTTCCGCTCTGCAAAGTGGTGACCAGCCCTATAAATGTCTGAGTGATGAAGACCATTGGTCCTCAAGTGTTGGGGTTTTCCCATTGAACGATGCGCTTTCAAAATGAATAGGCTTGAAAGTTACGTAGTATAGCTCGAGATTCTATGACTATACATGCAGGCCCTAAGGCTATGGCTAGTGGGTTTGTCTTAGGAAGTTTGTCTTGCCACTGTTGCCAGGTGCTTGCTCATGATCAGTTTCAGCCATAACAGAGCAGCAAGCTGCTGAGGTCCTCCCAAAACCTTCCACCAGCAAACCATTGAGAAGCTTTAATTGTTATCGAAATGCAATGTGTTCGTTAGCATTGGCCATTTTATGAGTATATGGATAAACGACAAGCTTTTATATAATATACATATTGCTAATCTAATTAGGAAGATCAAAGTTGCTATATGTGTATGTAACTGCATGTTGCCTCCTCCCTTTTACAGGAACTTGATTCAGCTTTCAAGCTAAAACAAAAAAATGCTTAATGCATCTTTAAGAGCACTTAAGTGACATTATTAATTTTCCCAGTGTTCTTACCACCTGGAAAGGTGGGAAACAGAATGTAATCCATGTTTTATATCATTTGCACTCAGCCCAGCCCAGAGTGGAATTGTTTGCCATGTTTCCTCTCCCTCTCTAAGAGCTACGATTTAATGACTGCCGCCTTCTTGAGAAGTGGAGCGACAAGGAGGAGGGTTTGAAGCAGCTGGTGGCTGCTCTGAAGAGGGTGTCTTCTCTCCACACACTCAGCCTGGCTCAGAATCGACTAGGTAAGCACATGCCTTGCATCTTTCCACCAATACTGCAACAGGACTGTGAGCTGACAACCAGCAGGATCTAAACAACATTAAGCCAGCTGTGGTTGTTCTAATGTTGCTCTGTGTGTTGGATGTGTAAGGCAACTGTATGTACAAGTATTTTTGTTTACACAGTCTCTACGGAAAGGTGACCTGTATCTGTTCATTTGATCTATCTCTAACTCATGAATATGTATCAACAGCCAAGAACGTGTGTGTGCTGGCAGAGCTGTTCTCAGGATGCTCGCCAAACTCAGTGAGAAGACTCGACATCAGGTAAGAGCTGCTTCAACAGCCCCTCTGGGTTGCCCAAAAAAAAGGGGAAAAAAGCATTACTTTTCCAATGATGCATCATTTGTCCCATAATAACATGTTTTATCCAACACATTCAATTATTTTAATATGTGTCGTAATATACAGGTACAGCTCCAAAAATTTGAATATCGTGAAAAGGTTTAATGTTTTTTGTCAATCATTTTAGAAAGTGAAACTCGTATATTATATAGATTAATTACACAGAGTGAAATATTTCAAGCCTTTATTTCTTGTAATTTTGATGATTATGGCTTACAGCTAATGAAAACCCAAAACCCAGTGTCTCAGAAAATTAGAATATTACATAAGACCAATAAAAAAAGGATATTTTAAACACAAATGTCAGGCTTCTGAAAAGTATGTTCATTGCTATGCACCCAATACTTGGTCAGGGCTCCTTTTGCATGAATTACTGCATCAATGCAGCGTGGCATGGAGGTGATCAGCCTGTGGCACTGCTGAGGTGTTATGGAAGTCCATGTTGCTTTGATAGCGGTCTTCAGGTCATCTGCATTGTTGGGTCTGGTGTCTCTCCTCATTCTCTTGACAATAGCCCCTAGATTCTCTATGGGGTTCAGGTCAGGCGAGTTTGCTGATTGAACCAGCTTTTGGTACCTTTGGCAGTGTGTCCTGCTGGAAAATGAAATCAGCGTCTCCATGAAGCTTGTCAGCAGAAGGAAGCATGGAGTGCTCTAAAATGTCCTGGGAGATGGCTGTGTTGACTTTGGACTTATAAAACACAGTGGACCAACACCAGCAGATGACATGGCTCCCCAAATGATCACTGAGTGTGGAAACTTCACACTGGACTAAAAGCAACGTGGATTCTGTGCCTCTCCACTCTTCCTCCAGACTCTGGGACCTTGATTTCCAAATGAAACGCAAACTTCACTTTCATCTGAAAAGAGGACTTTGAACCACTGAGCAACAGTCCAGTTCTTTTTCTCCTCAGCCCAGGTAAGACGCTTCTGACGTTGTCTCCGGTTCATGCGACAGTTGTAGCTCATGTCCTGGATACGTCTGTGCATAGTGGCTCTTGATGCACTGACTCCAGCCTCAGTCCACTCCTTTTAAATCTCCCCGAATTCTTGAATGGGTGTTGCTTCACGATCCTCTCAAGGTTATCCCTGTTGCTGGTGCACCTTTTTCTACCACACTTTTTCCTTCCACTTAACTTTCTATGAATATGCTTGGATACAGCACTCTGAACAGCCAGCTTCTTTAGCAATGACCTCTTGTGGCTTACCCTCCTTGTGGAGGGTGGCAATGTCTGTCTTCTGGACATCTGTCAAGTCAGCAGTCTTCCCCATGATTGTGTAGCCTACTGACCCAGACTGAGAGACCGTTAAAGGCTCAGGAAACCTTTGCAGGTGTTTTGAGTTAATTAACTGAGTCTACAATATTGAACTATTACTAATATTCAAATTTTCTGAGATACTGAGTTTTGGGTTTTCATTAGCTGTAAGCCATAATCATCAAAGTTAAAAGAAATAAAGGCTTGAAATATTTTACTCTGTGTGTAATGAATCTATAGAATATGAGTTTCACTTTCTAAAATGATTGACAAAAAAATACTTTTTAACGATAATCACATTTTTTTGAGCTGTACCTGTATGAGGGCTGCACGATTTTGGAGAAAAGGTCAATATTGCAAATTGCGACTGTCATATAATGGTACTTGATAGAAATTTGTCTTGTTTCCGTGTGATGTGGCGACTTTTACTTTGCCTGTTTTACACAGTACCTCTTTCTGCTCAATGTTGCTGAGGTCGTGTTTCTTTTGGCCACCAATAAGGCGTGCATAATGGTCAGGGTGCGGTGCAAACAGAGAAAAGAGTGTCACGCTCATAGCGCACCTTTTTATTTGATTAAATCGCACCCTTTTGTGGTTAAGTAAATCGCACAGGGTGACATCACGATTACAATTGCAATTAAATTAATTGTCCAGCACTATAATATTTACACATTCTGGATAAATTGAAAATGTAAGGGCCACAATAAACAACACATAGTATTGTTCAAAGCATGAGGCAATAAGATTACAGATTGACTGAAAAAAACCTAAAAACAATGTTGGCGTGTGTCACTCACAGCACTAGAGCCTTCATCCTAGGTCTTTAGGAATGAAAGTGCCATCCCTACAAAGTTATTGACCAGAAAACTTTGTGCATATTCCACATGAAGATACCGCTTGTGACCTATACTTAATCCCACCATCATTAAATTCAGAGCTGTGTAAGACAAAATATACAAGCTGTCAAAAGCAAAACTTTGTTTACTGCAGTTTTCCTACGATTGTAATGTTATATTTAACATTTATTTGCTTTTTTAACTCTTTAAAAATAATAATACAATAATTGGAAATTCCTTCCTTACACTAGTCTTTTAGTACATTCTTACAGTACATATTTAAGCAAGTATTTCAGTGTTATGCTACTTTGAAATGCTCACTATATTTCAGAAGGAAATATTTAAGTTTTTATTATTTTATGTTCTAGTTACTTTGCAAATGTGAGATTTACATATATGATTAGCTTATAAAATATGATGCATTGTTATAGATTTAACTACCAAACAGTATAGACAGTAGTTCACGTGGTACAACATTAAAATGCTTATCCTATTCTGCTTAATAAGTACTTTTTATACTTGTATTTGGTGTATTTGTCTGATAATGGTCCTGTACTTGTACTCAAAGGTCCAGTGTGTAAGATTCTGTGGCATCTAGCAGTGTAGTTGCAGACTGCATCTCCCTTGTTTGAAAAACTTTGCAAATCGTACAAAAAACACCCATATCTAGAGCCAGCATTTAGTTTGTCCCTTCTGGGCTACTGTCGAAAACACTGGCCCTTTGATTTAAATCTCGAGTACAGGACTTTTACTGGTAACTTCCACCACTGGTATTCAGTGTATAGTAAGGTTTTTCTATTAAACGTGCTGCCTTTCGTCCTGAACAGCTCCAACTTCATCCAGCCTGCTGAGCTGCTGGAGTTTGCCAAGAGATTGAGGACCCATCGTCCCCCACACCAGTTGACCCTTGACCTTAGGAAAAATCCAGGGGATCGAGACCCTGACACATGGAAAACTGCAATAAAGAGGCTCCGTCCATTCTGTGTTCTACTGGTTGAAGGATGGGTATCAACCAACACAATGGCCGACCACATCAGCAATATGTGAAAGCTAGACGAAAGGTGGATGTAAAAAGTTCATGCAAGTTTGTCATGTTTCTCTTTGACAGAGAAGAGCGACAGATTAGATAGATAAGATTCCAATGACAATTTTCACTGTTCAATAAAACCCCTTAAAATGTCATCAAAACCAGTCACTTCTCCACTATTCATCTGATGTACAATTGTTTTGTGTCTCATGTTTTCACCATGTCTAAATACACAACTTCCATTCTGTCTGAATCGCAGTCTATAGTGCAACATGTGAGAGTACATACTGTACTGTACTGAGTATACAGATAGACAGCAGAGGAGTGGGTGAAGCTGTAGGAGTGGTTTTAAAGGTTCTCACAGACATGATCAGAATTACAGTTATGGTAGAACATACATTGTTTAGCTTTGCAATTGCTTGTTTGCACATGATGTCAGGCATTGTGAGTGCGGTCTGCACCACAGGAACTGTTTTGCGTCGTTTGCGTTATATCTATTGATCAAACTGAGAAACCAAAAGGAGCTTTCATAGAGTACTAAAAGTTGTTCGTAACGGGGGAAAAAATGGACAGAAAAAAACGTCTCAAGTTCTTCTGTGGGCATGGCAGAAGCAAAATCAATACATGTTTACTCTATATTTAGAAAATTCTCACATTACCTTCTGCGCATCTGAGATCCCTGAAGGGAACTGAAGCAGTTACGTCCATCTATGCTCTCTAGAGGCCACCAGACTGGCTTTGGTGTTTTAATACTTTAGTTTGGATCACCAAAGTCACACAGTAACACTAACCTATCAAACGGGGCAGCGATAGGCCATCAACTCCCGTGTTCTTCAGGGTTTTTTAATTAAAGGAGTCTGGTGACTTTGAAGAAAGCCATATTACCTCTTCAGTTCCTCGTTGAGTGGCAAAGTCTTTCCTTTCAGTAGAAAAATGGCTCCTCTTCAGTAGAATCACACTTCACTAGTTCCATTTGTGTTAAATCATTGAATTTGTTCCCTTGTAACCGAATGCACCAAGGCACAGTTGGAAAGTAAAAGAGCATCCTGTCTTAGTTTGAATTTGAATCATTTATTAAACCAACGTCCGTTACACTTCCAGAGTCTTCCCTTGGACAGAGTGTGAGTGACAGTGGACATTAAGATACAACTGAAAAACCTGGAGGATTGACATCGAGGTGAAGAGCAGTTTCACAGCAGCTGTCTCACACCTTCTCTTCATTGTCATTTTCTTTACATTAGACAAACAGCATCGACAGCGACTACCAATTCATCATTAGTAGGAACCAAGTAGAAAAAACAATCAGAAAAACGGATTAAAAAGAGCTTAATCTTTTTCTTAGTGGATTTTTTAAAGCTAAATACTGTAACACTTATGTTCTTTAAATTCTGTTTTGTTTTCCTTGTATATTCTCATATTTTAGTAAATTCAAGTCAAAGAGAGTGAAGACCCTATGTCTGCATGCTAACTGGTTGATTTGCTGGGTCTATCTACAACCATCTGTTACATAAAACAAAGACACTCTCACAAACACACACCACATACACACTCATACACACATTTCAGCCTGCCCTGGCTATCTCCTCATTTACTAATTGCTTTTACAGGAAATAAAATGAAAACATTTGGCGAAATTCATACCTCATAAAGAAGTCAGTTGTCAAATGAGGGACAGGTTGAGTGATTCTGATTGTGAGATTTGTGATCCTTTTCTGTTTTTTTCTCTTAAGAGTCACTCCAAACCTGGAGTATTTCCCTACTGTGTGCAGGAACCAAACTGATTGCGACTGACTGTCTGCAAGCTTAAAGCAAAGTGCTAGTCTGATCGTCAAACAGTCTGAAACGACTTTCCTGCACACCTCCCTGACACCGAGGGGCTTTGTCTGACCATTATTAGCTATAATAATGGTTTGTCTTAGCTAGAAGGTAGGTGAGGTTAAAAAAAGTCGACTGAACTACAGCCTTGATTCTCTGCCCAAATCTAATTGGACACAACCCACCGGGCTCAGAGAGAATTCCATTCTTTAAATCTATATATATTCAACATTTTATTAATAATGCATACAACTGTAATTAGTGAGTGAATTTGTTATTAGTTTAGATAATTTGCACTATATAATATGCAGATTGTAGTTTACTTTAGCGTGTAATTAACTAAATAAATAAATCATTTAAAGCATAAATCCGGGTTTGAGTCGGGCTCTGGCCCAAAAGTACCTCCATGGTTTGGGCTTGGTTCGGGCTTGCACAGAATCTTTTCAGGCTCAGGTCCAATCAAAGCCCTATGTTGAACATGTCTGTTAAACTCACATTCTTCAGTCTTCCAAACGTGTGCGCTGTTATATTGTACAGTTCCTCATGTCTCCTACCTCTATAGAATGGCAGGATTTCTGGTGCGCTCCAGTGTGGCCATTCAGAACAAAACACTTTTGTTCGGATGACTTACTTTGAAATTTAAGTCAGCAAACAAGAATGTTTCCTGAAATGTGGGGGACTACTCGTTTTAAACCATCTTGCAACTGCCTTAACCATCCTAATATTTTCTTAGCCCTTTTTCTGTAGATTACATAAATTATCCATCAGTAAGTAAGTTAAATTCCCACTGTATTATTGCCACACTCTCCAGTTTTCTGTCTAAAAATACAATGTATGCAAACACTGAATATGTATTCCAGATTACTAGTAGGACATCGACATAATGTCTCTGTTGCACTCAGCAGAAAGGTGGCTGATCTCAGGTGGTTCCACAGGGAGGACTGGATTGATCACTGACCTCTGCATCTCATAATCTCAATGAGGCATGTAGGAATGTTTCTCTGCAGATTTCTGTTTTTTCCAGACAAAGGTCAAACTTTCCCTCCAGACAAATAACTTCTTTCATCAGTATGAATCTACAGTTACAGATATCGGGGCTTAAAAACACTTTCTGGTACTTGAATGGATGTTCGGAGATGGGGATTAAATTGCGACTTTTAGACCTCTATCAATGTGAGGAAAAGTTACACTTAAACAAGACTTTAAAAAAAGAGAAAATTCAACAACCCCCCACCCTTTTACAATAACTTCCACAGTAAACTTCCACTGTTACATATGGTGCCTTTTCCTCTCTTGTTTCTCTATATACTTATTTTTACATAGTCTGTACAGTGTCAATGTACATGTAATCTATGTGGAGTGTGTATGTCTGAGTGAGTGAGCGGCACGTCACACACAGCGACACTCAGTCTCTTCATGAAGAAAAAGGTTTAGACAAGATTAACTGTGAGTGTTATCTGGACCTTTAAGGTGGAAGTCAGTGTGTTTCCAGGATGGTCCGTGTGTGTGTCTCCATGGACCATTCACAATCATCCTTTCAGTTGTGTCACAAAAGAATCCAAATGAATCAAACTGGTACAGCAAGATTTACAGTCATACATTAACACGTATGTGCCCTACCATATTGAAAACTATACTCGATCTACACAATCATACACGCATGTGCCGTAACAAAAACACACATACCGCCTACAATACAATATTTTGAGAAGGCATTAAGGAAATCTCCTCAAATAAATATAAATAAATTAAATCATATAAAAAGGGTTAAAAACAGAAATTCAGTTAAATACAGCAAAAATCTCAAATGAATACAATAAACAACAGTACTGGCTCATAGACAAAGACCATATGGATGCATGAGATGGGTACATTTTTGTAAACAATGGTGGACGGACAGACAGACAGACAAGCACGCAGGTAGACACATTCACAAATCATTAGTGAGCAGAAAGGCTTGTTGGGGTTCAGTGGTGGGTCGGGTCGGGTGGGGGAGGTGTTTAAATATTATGGTTGGGGCCTTATTGGCAGTGCTGCATCCATACTACTGTTATCCGTGGCTCACGGGTTCAGGAGGGCTGTTTTCAATAGCTAAAGTGACTGGACAGCACCAAATACTGTGGCAGGTGGACAGACACGACCAGATTTCTACAGATTAACGCAAACGATACAAGATACAGGATACTGTTTGCATGTTACAACCAAGGATAGGCGTTCATCTGTCATGGAACCAAGGCAGGAGTCACTGGCTGATGTCCTTTGTTGGTTCAGCCATTAAGTACCAACTAAACTGATTACAACGTGGACACCAAAATCCACCTGTACCATAGATTGATGAATTGTCACTACCTCAGCAAACTTAATCAGGATAGAGGCATAGCAGTGCGTAACCATGGAACTGTCTACGTTTAGATAGCAATTAACTCGTTTTTGGGAACTGTCTGTGTCTTGGTCTTAGAACTTTGACCCAGTTCATTAAAGTTAATTGTAATATGTTTGTTGCCTAAAAATCAGTTCAGTTGATTTGTGCTAAGACACTTTGTTGACAAGTTGTTGGCCGCTAGCCAAAATTAGCATGCCGATTAATATCACAGTTAATGTGAACTATGGATGTACCAAGCTAGTAGAAGTGTAGCCGATAACTTTTGCAATAGCATTTGCAGTGCTAACAGTAACCCTCTCGTCCAAATATGGCACTTCTCCCTCCAGAAAACCAAGATGTGACAGCCAAAATGCCAAACTCGAGGCTTCACAACGGTAGTCCACAAACCAGTGGGTGACATCACAGTGGCTACATCCACTTCTTTTCTTTGAGGGAAACTAAATGTAATGACTTTTTAAGATCTGCACATACCCTGAATGATATAACCAATGGTCCTCACACAGAGTGACAACCTACTTTTAAAATAAGATGTGTTCAGTATGTTTTGTTCACTTCATACTTAAAATCTTAAGAATGGTACTAACAATCGGAACTGCTAATGTGTCTATAAACCCACATAGTGGACGTATTCGAGACTTGAACACATCTAGAGGTTTAGTGTCCAAGTCCTCCTCACTTGATGGCTAAGTGGCCAAAAGAGCAATCACCTTATCACTGTTTTCCTTTACAGCCATACATGTTTAATGTTTAAGTTATTTTTCACCCTCATGTTTTGTCTTTAAGGTTTCTATTCCATTGAGACAGCACAAGTTTGCCATTTTGAGGCAGGATAACAAACGGAGGAGTAAAGAGCCTCTGTGTTGAGCTGTCAGCTCATTGTTGTGGCAGTGTAAAACACGGGCCGAAACTGTTGGACAAAGCTTCACCTTTCCGTCTTGTGTCTGAGGCATTAATCTAGCAGGATCTATCTGATAAAGTACTGATGCAATGGTGCAGTTATGCTCGATATCTGTATGTGAAAGATTTTAACCCCTGTGGCAGAATGTGTGTGTATGTGTTTAAATGAATGCATCATTCAGCTAGTTCTTGCTTTGTGTTAGATGGCATTGTACACTGGAATCCCGAACAAGCAATAGGGTGGAATCCTGGGGTAAGACTTAGTACTGTATGTAAGTGTGTGCATGTACTGATATGTGCGTAACGTGTGTTTCTAAGTCCCGCCCCTTTTCGCTCTGTGCTCCAATAACAGTTGAGCAAGCCTTGGTTAGAACCTATATGCTATGTACTAGGCTCGTCTATGTTAAAAAGGCAGTAACATGGGGTGCCCGGTTAGCTCGGGGGAGTTTTCACATCATGATTGACAGTTGAGCCCTGCTCAGGATTGAGTCAACAGAGTGTATGGGCGGGACATCACCAGCTGTTGTCACTATCATCCTAACCAGTTTCACTCCTCATGCCTAAACCTAACCAACCAAATCAAGGAAGGCAGTGAGTACTAGCAACAACAACAAAAAAAATTAAAAAGAGAAAGCTGACCAAGGTTCTGCATAGAGCAAAAAGGGTGGGGTTTAGGAAAGGTGAATTTGTGTGTGATTTTATGTGTGCATAAGCAGGGGAAACAGAAAAATAAGTTCATATAAAACAAAGACACTGGGTTTAAAATAAGAGTGTGACAATAGAATGAATAAATCCAACGAAATGATGAGATCCCTGCTAATTCCTTCATACTGTATTAATGTATGTGAAGGCACATACAGTACAGTTATATGAAAACCTTGGACCTGCTATACTGGTGTTTTTCTATGTAAATGTCAGTTAAAGGACTACCTACAGAAATAGAAAAAACAGCTGGTTGAACTGAAAATGTACAGTGGAAAAACCTAAAGCAGTTTTTTTGTTAGTTCCAGAAAAGTAAACATGTTGGAGAGGCAAGGTATTCACCCAGCAGCAACAATATGTGTGTATGGTGTTCCTGTGCTGGGGGACTGTGAGAGGGGCCTGTCATGGAGGGGCTTAAAGGGAGGGTAGGGGAGGCTGGGGGTAAGGTATGGAAGTTTGTGTGTGTGTGTGTGTGTGTGTGTGTGTGTGTGTATATGTGTGTGTGTGTGTGTGTATGTGTGTGTGCGTGCATGCGTGCGTGTGTGCGCACGTGTGTGTGTATGTGTGTGTGTGGTGGGGGGGCTATAGGATTCCATCCATGAAGCTGGTGTCCAGCCGCTGGATGAGCACCCGGATGAAGGACATCTCCTTGCGGGTGTTCTCAAAGATCACCCTGGGGTCGTCGGACTGGCAGCGCAGGCAGTTGGGAGCCATGACCATGGCCAGGTTGTTCACATCCATCTTAGTTATGGCCACATTGGCAGGCTGGGCAAATACCTGGACACCAACACAAAGCATAGCACAATATTCTAAATTCAAAATTCTATTCACCTTGGGACCCACATATTCCCATGGTCACCCACTTTTATAGAATTAAAACGACGCAAATGTGTAATGTAAGCTATGAACACATACACATTGTCATCATGACCTTTAACTTAACTTAAAATATACAAATATTTCCATTCCTGCATTCGGAGAGGTCAAGTACATTCTGCAGGTTTGGTTCGTCTGTTCTGGGTTACTGTAGAAACATAGCAGACTTGTTGGAAGGTGACCTCCAGCAGCTCATTCTAAGGTAACAAGAACACACCGATTCTTATTTTTAGGTGACTATACATTAATAAAACATACCTATGAATATTATATTCAATCTCTGCCAGTAGATCCTCCTCAATGTTACACACTGGACCTTTAAAGGCTTTAAACTGTTGATTTAGGATAAGTGTTTGTGTGTGTGTGTGTGTGTGTGTGTGTGTGTGTGTGTGTGTACCTGTAGGAAGCGGATGAGGTAGCAGAGCACCAGTTTGTTGATGTGTGGCAGGCCCAGCACCACATTGACGGCTGCCTCTGGGTTGTCATAGTGACTGATACACTCTTCATAAAACTCATGAGGGATCAAAGGCTCCTCCAGCTCCCTGTACCAGAGCTTCAGCAGAGACGCTGGGGACACAGAGACAGGGACGGGGGGAGACCTCCATGATAAACACATTTAAAAGCTGTTTAAGAGCTCACATGAGCTCAACTGATCATCTTGTTTGGACTACAGAGAGTTAGTGTGTCATGTCACACACTGCTGTCATATACAGGAAGTATATGACAGCAGTGTGAAACCAGAACCAGGTCCACAGAAGACCAGCAGTAACCTGTGTGTGTGTGTTTACCTGGGATGTGTGGGTCTTCCAGTCCTGTGGGTATTTTCCATTGATCCACTTGCAGCTTGAGGGCATTGACTTCATCTATGTCCCCCGGTACCCTGGAGGTCAAAGGTCACAGGCTGGTTACACTTTCCCTCATCTTCTCTGTATCTTGTACGCCCTGGTTTCTACATAGTTGTTGTGTATAACTACTACTCAAAATTAAAACATTAATAGGCAACTATTTTGATAATAGTGGCTCACAGGCAGAGCGGGTCGTCCACTAATCGGAAGGTTGTTGGTTCGATCCCCGGCTCCTCCCACCACATGTCAAAGTATCCTTGAGCAAGATACTGAACCCCAAATTGCTCCTGATGCTGTGCATCGGTGTGTGAATGTGTATGAATGTTAGTTTCTGTTCGATGGACTTTGCCATCACTGAGTGAATGTGTGTGAAAGGGTGAATGTGGCACGTAGTGTAAAAGAGCTTTGAGTGGTCGGAAGACTAGAAAGGGTTAGGGTTAGTACAAGTACAGGTCCATTTACCATTTACCATACTCAATTAATCAGTGTGAATATTTTCAGTGTGTCTTTCGTCCTCTATGACATCAAACTAAACAACTACTAAACAACTGATAATGAAAATGAGCTACATACAGCATGTGATCAAAAAGAAATTAAATTAAAACTAAATGTCTCGTCATTCTATGTTTGTACATGAAATATCCAGACAGATTTATTAGTGGATTTAGAGTCAAGGTGACTCTTATGGTTATTAGTTAAGGCTTCAACAGCAAAGTAAGTTTTGATGTGAGAAACCAGAAACCAGATTATTACTTTCCAAAGTGAAATCTGATTTTCATTATAACAAAGCATTACCTTCATACTCTGTTCACAGTCCTCCTGCTCTCTCCTCTCACTCACCTGAAGATGCCTTCTGTCTGGTCACCATTGAGACCCAGAACCTCTTCAGAAAGGCGAGTCTGCACCCAGGGCAGCTGGCTGTCAGGATACCGCTCCTTCTGGAGCGCCATCACCTCTTCCAGGGAGGAGCCAAACATGGAGGGACTGAAGATGGCATTCCTGGCGTGATTGATCTCCTCCAGACAGGGTTTCTGCAGGCCCTGGAGAGACACACACACACACACACACACACAGGAGTCAAAGCTATAACATGTATAACATTTCCACATTAAAATATCTATAAACTCTAGCTCTATGTTCTATATGTAGTTGAGTTGTTTACTTGCATTATTCCAAATGTTTCCAACAAAGTTCAAACTCAGAGAAATCTGTCATTTCATATCTCCGTTGTGGTTGTCTGCCAGAAGCTGTCATACATTGACTGTTGATCCAGTTTGAAGCCACATTGTTACCATCCACTGTTTAGATCTTGGTGCTTTTTAACTCTAGATTTGAACCGGATGAAGGATTTTAGTCATTGGACGCTGAGCTAACGTTAGCATTAGCTCGGCTCGCAGCCCCTCCGGGACGTCCTTTGTCTGCCCAACAGCGTGGGAGATTGTTAAGGTGGAACTGCTTTATTCAGTGTGTTTAGTGGTTTTAATCAGTGAGTCTGTTTGTGTTGGAGAGGAGGAGACCTCTGTGGATCATTGGGCTCCCGGTAGAAACCTCCTGAACCATGAACACTGAAGGAATCCTAACCAGGAGAAGCTGAGTGCAATGACAGCAATGGTGGTAAAGGCAACAACTCCTATGATTATCATGTTATTATTTTAATGTGAGAGACCCCCTAACAACAGAAATTACAGACTGTATGTTCAGTGTTAAAACAGCAGGGCAGATGAATGACAGCTTGAGTGCTTGAAGGGTGTGGGCCAGAAACCAGTGGGCGGAGGGGTCACTCAGATATTCTCTCAGTGAGACAAATCCATTCACAGGATTCACAGCTCATTAACATGCTGTTAGAGGTTAGCAGGTTAACACCAGTCAAACACTGCGGAGTCCTCAGAGTGACAAACGATCTCTGTCAGTGACCTGCTGAGAGCCTGGCACTACAAAGTGCTAACCGCTACACAGGCTCTGAGCCAAGCTGCTGCCTGCCAACACACTCACACTCAAAAAAAAAAAAACAACACACACACACACACACACACACACACACACACACACACACACACACACACACACAAAAATACACTTATGTGACATGTAATGCCAAAACCATGGGCATTAGTGTGCTGGTATTACTGCCTTAACTCTTCTGCTTTTCAGGCCACATTTTTGGCCTAGCTTGGAGTCTGCTTTTTGGTTCTTTCTGAAGGTGTTGATGAGGTTAAGTTTGAACTTGCAGGACAGGCAAGGCCAGTTCTACCACACCAAACTAGGAACTAAAAAAATAAATAAAAAAACATAAAATAACCTGGTTGCATAAGTGTGCACACCCTCTTTTAACTGGGGATGTGGCTGTGTTCAGAATTGACCAATCACATTCAAACTCATGTTAAATAGTAGTCAGTACACATCTGCCATCATTTAAAGTGACTCTGATTAATCCCAATCCAAAACATCAGAGGAATCTCATTGTTAAAAGGTATCAGTCAGGAGAAGGGTACAAAAGAAATTCCAAGGCATTAGATATACCATGGAACACAGTCATCATCAAGTGAAGAAAATACGGCACAACAGTGACCTTACCAAGAACTGGATGTCCCTCCAAAATTGATGAAAAGACGAGAAGAAAACTGGTCAGGGAGGCTTCAAAGAGGCCTACAGCAACATTAAAGGAGCTGCAGGAATTTCTGGCAAGTACTGGCTGTGTACTATATGTGACAACAATCTCCAGTATTCTTCATACGTTTGGGCTATGGGGCCACCCTGCCCCATAGCCCATAGCGAGATGGAAGCCTTTTCTTTCAAAGAAAAACATCCATGCCCGGCTAAATTTTGCAAAAAATACATGAAGTCTCCCAAAAGCATGTGGGAAAATGTGTTATGGTCTGATGAAACTAAGTTTGAACTTTTTCGCCATAATTCCAAAAGGTATGTTTGGCGCAAAAACAACACTGCACATCATCCAAAGAACACCATACCAACAGTGAAGCATGGTGGTGGCAGCATCATGCTTTGGGGCTGTTTTTCTTCAGCTGGAACCGGGGCCTTAATCAAGGTGGAAGGAATTATGAACAGTTCCAAATATCAGTCAGTTTTGGCACAAAACCTTCAGGCTCTGCGTTAGAAAGCTGAAGATAAAGAGGAATTTCACCTTTCAGCACGACAATGACCCAAAGCATACATCCATATCAACAAAAGCATGGCTTCACCAGAAGATCAACGTTTTGGAATGGCCCAGCCAGACCCCAGACCTGAATCTGTGAGGTGATCTGAAGAGGGCTGTACACAGGCGATGCCCTCGCAATCTGACAGATTTAGAGCGCTTTTGTAAAGAAGAGTAGGCAAATATTGCCAAGTCAAGATGTGCCATGCTAACTGACTCCTACCCAAAAAGACTGAGTTCTGTAATAAAATCAAAAGGTGCTTCAACAAAGTATTAGTTTAAGGGTGTGCACTTTGATAAAGCTTATAGTTAGGGCTGGATCAGGTGAGTCCTGAACCATCCCTTAGTTATGCTGCTATAGGCCTAGACTATCGGGGGATTTCCCATGGTGCACTGAGCTCCTCTCTTCCTCTCTCTTTCTGCACTCATTCATGTTCCATTAATGCATGTTACTAACTTCACTTCTTCCCCGGAGTTCTTGTGCTTTCTCGTCTCGCAGGTTCTCATGGATCCTGGTGGAGCCTCCTGCCATGGTCCTGCTAGATTGCCGTTGCCAATACTGTTGTTGCTATGCACCTGTCTGTCTGTCTGTCTCTCGCTCTCTCTGCCTCTCTCTCTCTCTCTCACTCTCTCTCTCTCTTCACCCCAACTGGTCGAGGCAGACGACCACCCACCTAGAGCCGAAGGATCTGTCCTAGGTTTCTGCCTTTTAACAGGCAGTTTTTCCTTGCCCTTGTCGCCAAGGTCTTGCCCATGGTGGTACTGTTGGGTCTCTGTAAATTAATGTTAAAAGAGTTCGGTCTAGACCTGCTCTATTTGAAAAGTGTCCTGAGATAACTTCTGTTATGAATTGGTGCTATACAAATAAAATTGAATTGAATTGAATTGCACACTTACGCAACCAGGTTATTGTACTTTTTTTTTTTTTTCCCTAAAAGATTTCAGTTGAATTCATTTAATTGTTCACATTATAGGTCACATCAAAGGTGGAAAAAGTTTGAAAATATATACATATATATATAGAATTACACCTGACTTTTAAATTCTGTCATTCTGTCATTCATTCATTGTGTCAGTTCTGTCATTGGATGGACGGAGACAGAGCTGCTTACCTTCTTGGCTCCAGTCAGAGCAGCTTTTGTCAGCTTCCTGTAGCAGTATTTAGCATAGCTGCTAATGGCCACTCCTGCAGAGAAAAGAAGGCATTTGATTCAGTTCAGTAGGTTGGGATTTGTTAATAAGGACAGAATCAGAGGTGGAGCAGCTTCAGCAGTGCTGCAGAGGAGTATGTGACCCAGAGGGGTTTTATTCATGAGGCCGGACAACAAATGGATCCTGTGTTATTTCATTAACTCAGTCTGATTGTCTGGATATTATTAAAATTCCACAAAGAAGTGTTAAAAATGTTTAAGGTTGGTGACCATGGAAATGTGACCCTCCTGAGTAAGCCTGAAGGTGAAGTGAACCAGACCAACAACAGGTTAGTTTTCAGTTTTAGCCTCCCTTTCAGGTTGAACCAGTGTTAGACTTACTACCAGTGTGAATACTGTTGTCTCCTCTACAGCACTGGTTCCCAGCCCTTCTCTTTAAGGGAGCCCTTTCCTACCAGTGATCTGACTCAGTGACCTATTTTATGGATATCTCATATTATATTCAATGTATAACAATAACAGTAGAGAACAACTGATAACTACTCAGTGTCTCAATAATCAGTACTCCTGGTTCATTGGAGCTCAGGAAACAACACAGACCAGTCTGATTTGCAGAGGTGGGAAGTAACTAAGTACAAATATTTGTTACTATACTTCAGCAGTTTTGTCAGGTATCTGTACTTTACTTGAATATTCCATATCTACATTAATACACAAATACTGTAAAACAGGCTTGTTAGATTAGTTTTAATTAATTTGAGGGGAATGATCGATTATTGTTTTTGCATCATGCACGTCTTCCCAACATCAAGACTGTAGCATATCACGCACGACAGACGTTATGATGTAAAAGGTGTAACAGACAAGAGAGGGAGATTCGTCCCTTTTTGAAGTGTCAGTTAGCTTTGCACAGAAACAGACAGTAGAAATGTCCCTCAGAGAAACCAAGAGAGGACTTTTTACTTTTACTTGAGTAAAGAAGTTGATTTAGTACTTTTTTACACAAGTATCTGTACTTCTACTTGAGTAAAGATGTGTGTACTTTCACCACCTTTGCTGATTTGTGATTCATCCTGTTGAACACTGCTCAGCTGATGAGAGTAATCTGTTATTCAGCCCATCTACCTGTAGGGGACAGCATAGCACCAGTACAGCTTTATTCTGCCTGACATTTGAGCACAAAGCAGACACAGGAGCACCTTTAAAACACACTGTAAGGTAGATTATTGAAGACAACATTGCTGATGTCTCTCACTATCTATCCTGCTCGTGGACAGCGGCTGTGGGATGTTATTTTGTAGCTAGCATGTTGTTTGTTGGCCTTCACAGAATGCAGCAACTGATATTCTACATGGGATTTGGGTTTGCAGGTTATTGATTTCCTGCTTAAAGTAAGAGTAGTAACTGGTCTGAAGATATTTATAAGATTGAATATCTGGATCAGTTTCCCTCTTATCTGATATTTCATCCTGGAGTTCCCTGAAGACGGTCCTCAGATCAATATCCATCCATTATCAAAACCTCAACCGTTCTATTCCCTTCTAACATCTTCACAATGCGTGTGGTGTGGCCATTGTAATGCAAACAAAGTAAGTGGTATTCCACAGATAACTTCCCTCATTCTATTTTCTGTATTTTTGTTCATATTGTAAGTATGAAAATGTCAATCTCAACATTCAGTCCTGTTACCTAAATTACTATGCTATGTGGCTATCAGGGGCAGAGCCAGACAGTATAAACATTTGGGCCTTAGCCTAAAGCTAGGTGGGTACGGGGGCATGCAGATTTGATCCTCCGGAGTAAGCCTGAAGTTTTCAGTTTTAGCCTACCTTTCAGGTTAAACCAGTGTTAGACGTTCTACCAGTTTTTTCTTGTTTTGTTTGTTAACTCAGTTTTCGGCTGTGATACCCGGAGCTCTTTCACTAGAGAAGAGCTCATGAACATCAGGGGAACAACTCCAGCTGATCTCTTTCCCACTTATCTTCTTTCTTTCGTTGAAATTTTGGACATTGTGGTCAAAGGTGCACCCACCTTTGCTCACGCAGTGAAATGCAGAAGGAGAGGGAAACGTGCCGGTGCGCTTGTGCGCCTCTGCCAGCGCGGACATCGCACACCGTTACCTGGAATATTCCTCTCCAACGTGCGTTCACTGTGCAATAAAATGGACGAACTTCAGCTAATTCTGGGGGAAAACAGTGACTTTTCTTCATCCTCTGTTTTATGCTTCATGGAGACAGGATGTTTACATTCCACCGCAGGCCAACGTGCCGGACGCACAGCGCACGCTCACCGACCAGATACTGTGTGTGGAGCGGTCTAACCCGGACTCCTTAGTTATTGTCCTTGGTGACTTTAACAAAGGAAACCTCAGTCACAACCTCCCTGAATACAGACAGTTTATTAAATGCCCGACCAGAGAGAAGAACATACTGGATCACTGTTACACTACAGTCAGCAGAGCTTATCACGCTGTCCCCCTGGGCCTCTCTGACCACGTCATGGTCCACCTGATTCCTTCATACAGGCAGAAATTAAAACTCTATAAACCTGTTGTGAGGACATCAAAACCGTTGACCAGTGAAGCTGTGGAGGATCTTCAGTCTCTACTGACTGGGATGTTTTCAGGACTGCTACCAACAGTCTGGATGAGTACACAGAGGCTGTGACATCATACATCAGCTTCTGTGAGGACTGCTGTATTCCATAACACACCAGGGTGAGTTATAACAATGACAAACCTCACAGCCAAACTCATTCAGTTACGGTTGCAGAAGGAGCAAGCGTTCAGGAGCGGGGACAGGGACAGGTTTAAGGAGTCAAAGTAATAGTTTAGCAAGGTAGTGAGACAAGCTAAACAACAGTACTCTGAGAAACTCAAACATCAGTTCTCAGCCAATGACTCTGGTTCTGTCTGGAAGGGGCTCAGACAGATAACCAACTACAAACCTAAAACCCCTCACTCCATCAACGACTTGCGCCTAGCAAACGAGCTGAATAAGTTCTACTGTCGCTTCGACGGACAAAGGAGCAGTCCTGACACCATCCCCCGTGACCCTCCAGCATCTGGACTCCCCAGGAACCTACACCAGGATCCTGTTTGTGGACTTCAGCTCTGTGTTTAACACCATCATTCCAGCTCTGCTACAGGACAAGCTCTCCCAGCTCACTGTGCCTGACTCCACCTGCAGGTGGATCACAGACTTCCTGTCTGACAGGAAACAACATGTGAAGCTGGGGAAAAATGTCTCTGACTCCCAGACCATCAGCACCGGATCCCCCCAAGGCTGCAATCTTTCTCCTCTGCTCTTCTCCCTGTATACCAACAGCTGCACCTCCAGTCACCAGTCTGTCAGGCCACTGAAGTGTGCGGTTGACACCTCCCTCATTGGGCTCATCTCAGATGGAGATGAGTCCGCCTCCAGATGACCAACCTGGTGCAGCCAGAACAACCTGGAGCTAAACGTTCTGAAAACGAAAAGTGGAGATGGACTTCAGGAAGAACCCAGCCCCACCCGCCCCCATCATCCTGTGTGACTCCTCAGTTGACTCTGTGAAGTCCTTCCACTTCCTGGGTACCATCATTACCCAGGACCTCAAGTGGGAGCTGAACATCAGCTCCCTCACCAAGCACAAAGCCCAGCAGAGGATGTACTTCCTGCAGCAGCTAAGGAAGTTCAACCTGCCAAAGGCGATGATGGTGCACTTCTACACCGCCATCATCGAGTCCATCCTCACCTCTTCCATCACCATCTGGTACGCTGCTGCCACTGCCAAGGACAAGGGCAGACTGCAGTGTATCATTCGATCTGCTGAGAAGGTGATCGGCTGCAATCTGCCATCCCTCTAGGACTGTACGCCTCTAGGACCCTGAGGTGTGCAGGCAAGATTGTGGCTGACCCCTCCCACCCCGGTCACAAACTCTTTGAGACACTTCCCCTCTGGCAGGAGGCTGCGGTCCATCAGGACCAAAACCTCTCACCACAAAAACATCTTCCCGTCTGCAGCTGGCCTCATTAACAAGGCCCGGACCCCCCACTGACACTGACTCTTATACCCACCCTGTATATATGCATTACATTAATGCACTCCCGTTTTCTGCACTTTTTTTTTTCTTTTCTTAGCTTTCTTATGTTTATTTATTTATATTTTGAAAGTACTTTATTTTTCTGTGATTTGTATATTTTATGCACCAGGACACATTCCTTGTAGGTGTAAAAACCTACTTGGCAATAAACGTAATTCTGATTCTGATTCTGAGTGTGAATACTGTTGACTCCTCTACAGCACAGGTTTGCAGCCCTTCTCTTTAAGGGAGCCCTTTCCTACCAGTGAACTGACTCAGTGACAAATGTATGGATATCTCATATTATATTCAATGTATAACAGTAGAGGACAACTTATAAATTGTAAGTGTCAGGAACACTGTTATGTTAGAGGTGGGAAAAATAAGCTAAGTGGGTAAGGGGACATGCTCCCCTGGGGAGATTTTTTTTTCCCCATTTACGGAAGATATATGCATTATTTTTCAAGCTAGTTGAGACAATATACTGCCTAAATTCTATGCATCATTTGGAAAAAACATGATAAACAGGAACAATATCCCGTAGAGCCTATTTTGTATCTAACTTTTGTCCAACAGTCTGCATCATTCTAAAACCAGAACTCATGTTCAGAATGACTCGTTTTTACCCCCCTAAAAAGAGGCAAAAATAGTTCAAAATTTCATGTCCATAAGATAGTTTCTGTAGCTAGCTAGCTTGCTGACTGAAGTGACATGACATGGCTGTGGCTCAGAGGTACAGCGGGTCGTCCACTAATCGGACCCCAAATTGCTCCTGATGCTGCGTATGAGTGTGTATGAATGATTAGTTTCCGTTCTGGTGAGCAGTTGGCACCGTGCATGGCAGCCACTGCCATCTGTGTAGTGTGGCAGTAGTGTACAGCGTGTTGAGTGGTTGAAAGACTAAAAGGCACTATATAAGTGCAGTCCAGTTACCATTTAAATAAAACACAACAACTCCCCATGACAATGACGATTTTCAAATTTTCCTTTCAGAAACCTTGTAAAACAGAAATATATATAATATTTAACCAAAACCACCAGATTTCTTAACCTAAGAATGCAATCTGAAACTGGTGTCACAGTCCTGGCACTTTGTACATTAACCATCTGTCCAAACTGCTCTGTGATATAATCAGTGCCTGAAATGGACCGAGATCTGGCACTTGTGATTTTTGTCCATGAGTAAGCCCACTTCTTATTGTGTACCTCTGCTGAGCATGGCCATACCCACCACTAATGTCACCAAGGTATTTTTTCCAAAGGGTATACAATGAAAGTTGTGAAATAATTGCCTATAACGTTACTTTGGTGACCCAAAATCTCCCATAGCAAGTTCAGTTTTAGGCCCTCTGGGGTCCTACACGCTCACGTAACTCTGTGTAAACTCATAGTTAGCTTAAAGATCCAGTGTGTAAGACTTAGGAAGATCTACTGGCAGAAATGGAATATCATATTCATAGATATGTTTTCATTAGTGTGTAATCACCTGAAAATAAGAATTGTTGTGTTTTTATCACTTCAGAGTGAGCTGTTTTTATCTACAGACGCTGTGGGTCGCCTCCCTTGTTGAACCACTGCTTCAGAACGGACAAACAAAGTGACAGACCCTAACCTTTAACAGACAGAAAACAGCACTGAAAATATCCTTGTTGAAATTATTTAAAACAGCAAAAGAATTAGGGCTAGGGTTATGTTGTGGTTAGGTTGTGCTGAATTAGGACACTGGGACCTTTTTGGTCCAATTCAGGTACTGTGTATAATTTTGAAGCATAATCCAGACACCAATTACATTTTTCTCCAGAACATTTTTAAAACTCAAAACTATTATGTTGGAAGTTATGTAGGAGAAAGAAATTCACAATTTTGCTGTTTTAAGAGTCTAGTGGGGTTAAAGGTATAATGTTAGTTCTGACGGTGCTAGAGGAGAGTTTATGGGATTAATTCATTCTTGAAAATGTGCTGGGCAAATTTCATGGCTGGCATAATATGGTTATTTTAGTGTACAAATGGAAATGTGTGCCTGATGGGGTTGGACGGTCCAGGGGGTCAATAAAATACATTGTTATCCTGTAGGAACATCCCTGTGATCCTGTGTCACTGGCAGTGAATAGAGTGTGAGTTGCTTCCTCACCTTTGGTGTCGTTGAGAGGGTCCATGTGCCGGTAGATGTAGCCCTCCAGGTAGGTGTGAAAGCGTGGCGTGGGGGGGAAGAAGGCCAGGCAGATGGCCATCAGCTCCCAGCCTCGCTCCAGGCTGTCGTAGCGGAAGTTCTCAGTGGTTTGACGACACAGCTGGATGTAGAGCTCATCTCGCAGACCCTGGTTGCTCCACCCACGCACCACCACCTGCCAGAGACCGCCAGAGAGCCAGATGAGTCCTTCTCTTCATGAATAAAAATAGCATTTAATTAAACTTTATGATAAATTTGGGAATCTAATCAATGATCGTTTTGCAGATCTTCCTACACAAACCTTGCTACGGGTTGTCTACACAGGACGTTTTAGTTTAGACACAACATACGCTGCTATTCTAATCACTCTGCCAACACAGGCTAGTTGCTCAACTATGCTAAGCAGCTTTTCTGTCTGCTGCTGTGCTGATGTTTAATCAAACCCTCATTCCACACTTTATTTTCATCCAAGCAGATTTGACAGTACCACTGGCAAAGGATTTTCTTGGATTTTCATTAACACCAGACGGAAGTCTGAAATTTCTCTGGGGCCTCATGACCGTTGTGTGCACACAACACAGGGCTTTATGTGTGTGCCAATTTCCACGGAAAAAGTTGTAAAAGACGAACTGGCCGGGAGAATGTGCACACCTGTACAGAAACTCGGAGCCAGATGCCACACACACACACACACACACACACACACACACACACACACACACACACACACACACACACACACACACACACACACACACACACACACACACACACACACACACACACACACACACACACACACACACACACACACACACGGTAAGTAGTGAACTGAAGGCAGATTTCATACGGAACATTAATTACATATCGACTGTATCATAAACATCCAGGCCTTTTAAGAGAGTAATTATTCCATAAACACCTCTCCATTTTAGAGACCAATGTTAATCTTGTCTAATGTCTGTGGTTATTGAACTGTCTGACTTTGTTACATTTCAAATACAGACATTAACAGCTGCGAAGCTTCTCAAACTTTCTTTGGTTCCGCTGCCGTTCACCACAGGAACAATATGTCTATCAATATTCATGAAGGGTTTTGCATTTATGGATAATTGTAGCAATGTAGTGGGCAGAATATAAGGCCAGCGTGGGCAGTTTTATAAATCAGATTATTTCTTGCTGTGCGCAATTTTTGTCTTTTGTGTGCATGTAAAAGTTTGGTATAGATCGTATGCACAGTTTTATAAATGAGGCCCCTGCTGTTTTAAAAGCTTCCCCTCAAAGTCACACTGTGAACAAGGACACACAGCCTCAGTGATGTGGTGCAGAGAGAAGGAGAGTCAAGATATCCTGGTTCAGTCACACTGCATAACACTTCTGTACAGACTCCATATTTCCAAGGGAAGGTGTTGTTACCATCTAGGCTTGGAGTCCTAATGTACCTATGGCCGAAAATGTGAAATGTCAGAAAGTGTCAGGTTCAGACCATCACAGAAAAGTAAAATCACTACAGGGGGATACCAAGGTGAGACATAAAGGAGTTACTGATAATAACGGCTTCTGTGCATGGGTGCATTAGGAGGGAGATCTCCAGGTTAGACCCTGAGCGGGGACAGAGCAGTGGTTCAGGCACACACCTCCAGAGCCACAGAAAAGGGATCAGCCTTAGAGCGACGGTCTCCCATATAGGTCTGGATGAGCTTAAAGATGTCCACTGCTTCCCTCTTCACGGTGCGGTCTGAGGTCACAATCATGGGCTTCTTGATAGGCTCACTGCTCCAGGCCAGCATGTTGGCAATGGACACCTTTCTTCTGAACAGACCCTGAGGAAACATGCAAGGGATGGAGAAAAACACTAGAGAAGGTTAGAGGAGATACAGGGAGGGCAGCTCGCACTTTTATCCACCTCCTAACATTGCTTGAATTTTCTCATGCTAAAATAAAATCCAAAACACAGATTACTGTATGTACAGTAGGAGTGAGTAGATTTGATAGAACAGGGATGCATGATATCAACATCATATGAGAAAGTATATTGGAAAGGAAAGTCAAATTAACCTAGCCTGTTTAAGTAGATTTTGAAGGTTATACATATGAGATTTAAGACATTAATATAGCAGCAAACAACAATTCTTTATGTAAAGATACAGTGGAGTCATGGTGTCACACTCCCTCTGCCTGTGACAGCCTCTCTGTCGCTAATTAAGGCTTATTATTAAGGATTTATTTCAACCAAAATTTTGGTGTGTTTGTTTTTTTGTTTCTGTCCACGTTTAATGAAGTTACACTGTTATGATGATCAAGGTAAAATTATGTTTTTGTCTATGGAGTCTGGTGGAGAGTGATAGTGATATTATGGCTGTTTCTGGTTAAACAAAAGTTCTGTCTCTGTAGGGATGTTTCAGACACTTAATAATCTGAGCCTGTCAGTGGCAAAAACAACAACTTTTAGTGGACGCACTTTGACGGGGCATTTGTCCGCAAAGATTAACATTAAGTATTTTTCCTCCAAAGTTGGTGATTTTTGATAAGACTGTTGAAAGACTAACAAAGATGGTTTTGGTGAGTTTTCTTTGTTTATGTCTGTATGTTTGTTTTGGTCTGAGATGCTGGTGCTCTAGTGCGACATCCAGTGGCAAGTGAGTCTATAACCTTGACAGTTACAGAATAGTGAGAAAACCTGTTCAGTCCCAGATGAGAGCCTAGTGGTCACTACAGATGCATGTGGAGAATTTTAGGCCTTAGAATGTCTTAATTATGATTTTGCCAGGTCCTAAAAATTGATTAGATTAATTAAGTTATTGTTACTTGTATTGTATTTTTCAGTCCCCCTTTTAAATATGTTTTTTGTAAAAATGTGTATTTATCATGCTGTAACAACTACAAAATAGACATGGAACCAATAACTATTTTCCTTCATATCCTTACCAGTATGGATGTAAAACAGGTCTTAAATTAGATTCATAATAGTCTTAAAAAGTCTTTAATTTAACCTGCAGAAACCCTGATACAGCAAAAAAGACTGACCTTTGGAGAAATTACCCTACACTTAACATAGCAATATGAAGGTATTCATCAAGGCAAGTCATAAATAACTATGTAAGTCATGTGTATGTTACATACACTTATTATTATTATTATTATTTAGTTCTGTATATTGAAACTGCATTGTAAAGTGAGCATCTGTCAATAAAACAAATCTTTACAAAAAAGAATGAGCCTTAGAGTTCTACTCATGAATTATTTTTTGAGTAGCTAAATCTGATTAGCAATCAGCTGATTGATATTTAGCAGGGTTTTCCGTTAATAGTGTTACCCAATGTCAGACCAAGTGTTATACAGCCTGTTATTATGTCTGCCATTACGTGTGGAAATTAATTAATAAACAGTGTATGACATATGAGCTGCAATGTTGAGATGTCTTTCACTGCAGTTCACCTACACATGAGAATAAGCTGTCTCAAGACCTTCCACAACATTATAAAAATAGTAAAGACAGAAATGCCAACAGAAGATACAGTTCGGGAATCACAAATGGAAAAAGAGACAGATACATTGTGATGTGTATGATGTCATGCAAATATATTCAAAAGTGAGAGTACACACATCCTCTGGAGTACCTGTGTGTGTTTGTTGAAGTGCTTGGACGCCCAGTTCTCGATGTCGGTCTCTGAGGAGGGCTTTCTCAGGGTGAATTCTGGGAAAATGCCACAGCTGGCGCTCGGCATCATATTCCTGGCATTTCGACTGGCCTCAAACTGGGCGCAGGCTCCGAGGTCCTCCGACTGACAGGTGAAGAAACAGAGAGACGAGGACAGACAGAGAGGGAGACAGGAAATAGAAAATGTCACTCATCTCTGTGCTGCTGCTGTGGAACATTCAGAGCCGCCTGAGAGCTGAAAGTTTCTTTGGCACTCAGAGGGAGCTGACTGGGATTAATACTGACGTGTTAATACGTCAATATCCGCAAGGTTATTTCTGTGCAACAAAGAGTCCATTTATTCCTTGATTTTATTAAAAATCTAAAGTAACAGCTGTGGATCAACAAACAAATTACACAAGAAAAGTTATTCAAAGACCCATGAACATCAGTTACAGGAGCCTTCTATGGTGTCGTACAGGTTGCAGAGGCTGCAAGATAAATACTGCACTGTAGAAAGTAAACAAGTATAAAGCTAACCATGGACACCTGTTTTTTTAGTCTGCATTGTGTTACAATTGGGTGAAACTGTGTAAAGCTCTGAGCTAAACCAAAGGGCATAGGGTCATCATGTTTCATTTGCTCTGGCAGATGTGTCTGGCCGCCCTTCTACTCAAACTGACTACCTGTCCCTACTATTACCTCATAGTAACATTTATTTACTATGGGCCGGGTTTTACATGATGATCGACAGAGGACCGTGATCTGAGTTTCATGTGTTGCACTAAGAATGACTTGTCAATCACAAGGTAGCCAAAATAAATGGGACCATAATTTACTAAATGAACATCATGCTGTATGGAAGAAGACTGAAACTAGAGATTGAGACCATAAACTCATCAGGAAACTTACAACGCTGAGTCAGAAGTTGGCTAATTTCTCCATACGACCATAAGAATAAGAATTTATATACACAGTACACTCATCAGACAAAACACTGGAGGCTAATTCCCATGAGGGACAAATAGTCCAATGTAGTCTAATTAGTGGGTAATAACACTTTTTGAATCAATTAATAAATGTAAAGACACTGATAGTCTAGCGCTTCAGAATGCTACACCATTAGCCCACAGAAATTACCCACAAAACCATGAGATCTTTGCGATGATGCTGTGACTGAGGTTTTTCTTACTTACTTACTTACTTCATTGTTCAAATGGATATCAGTCTCTCTGAAAGAAAACAAATATATTTTTCCAAAAATATTTAATAAAAAGCTCTCTTTCCCCTACTGTGCTGCATTCACTTTTGATGTGATTGAAGTTTACCACAAGTAGTTGCAATTTTACAAGAAACTATTTTGGTATCCTCTGTTATGCAGAAAAACTAGTCCATGCAACACAAAGCTCGTCAGAACCCTTCATATCTTAAAGAGCTCATAGTACCCTATTACCCCACTAGAACACTACGTTCTCTGAATGCTGGGCTACTTGTGGTTCCTATAGTCTCTAAAAGTAGAACAGGAGCCAGAGCCTTCAGTTACCAAGCTCCTCTCCTGTGGAACCAGCTTCCAGTTGTGGTTCGGGAGGCAGACACCCTCACCACATTCAAGAGTTAGGCTTAAGACATTCCTTAATTTTCCTTCCCTGTCTTCGAATTTTTTTTTCATGGTTGTACTGTTGGGTCTCTGTACTTAATGATAAAAGCTTATACGTTAGGGCTGGATCAGGTGAGTCCTGAACCATCCCTTAGTTATGCTGCTATAGGCCTAGACTATCGGGGGATTTCCCATGGTGCACTGAGCTCCTCCTCTTCCTCTCTCTTTCTGCACTCATTCATGTTCCATTAATGCATGTTACTAACTTCACTTCTTCCCCGGAGTTCTTGTGCTTTCTCGTCTCGCAGGTTCTCATGGATCCTGGTGGAGCCTCCTACCATGGACCTGCTAGATTGCCATTGCCAATATTACTGATATTATTGTTATTATTATTATTATTATTATTATTATTATTATTACTACAGTTACTATTATTACTATTGTCACTGCTCATTGTCCCCCATCGTTGCTGTTGTCGTCGCCGTCATCATCTTCTCCATGTTCTCTCTCTCTCTCTCTCTCTCTCTCTCTCTCTCTCTCTCTCTCTCTCTCTCACCCCAACTGGTCGAGACAGACGACCACCCACCTAGAGCCGAAGGGTCTGTCCTAGGTTTCTGCCTTTTAACAGGCAGTTTTTCCTTGCCGTCGTCACCAAGGTCTTGCTCATGGTGGTACTGTTGGGTCTCTGTAAATAATGTTATAAGGAGTTCGGTCTAGACCTACTCTATTTGAAAAGTGTCCTAAGATAACTTCTGTTATTAATTGGCGCTATACAAATAAAATTGAATTGTTATTTTCTGTTGCTGTTCATTTCATCCTCTTTTCTCTCCCTCCTCTTCTCCATCCACTTTGTCCACTGCTCTTTCTTTTTGTCTCTTCTTTCAAAGGTGGATTTTGCTCAGCAGATTGCATCCTTCACACTCTCAGCTTTAAACTAAAGTGTTGCAATACTGGAAAGAAGGAGAAAAACAATGTTGGGAGTAGAGAAAGAGAGGGAGAGGAGCGACAGCCTATTTTCCTCTTGGCTAAATGCTTCCCAGCCCTCTTATCTCCTCAGGGCCTCTGAGGACTCAGATAAAGCCACATGTCATACCAACCAATGAGTTTATTGCATGCCTCTTTACATCACACTTAAAGAGCTCTAATATTCGTCTGGTGTATAAATATTGGTTGGTTGTGTTTTAGGTGAACTCAGTGTTCTCAGACCTTGATCACATCATGCATTCCTGGCACACACAGACATTTGAAGGGACTGCAAACTTTCATTTTGTTGTAGAACCTTGTGTTGTATAATGATAAATACATTTTATAGATCCTTGATCTTCAGTCAATAGATACAGTCTGCCCAGTTGCAATGGGAATGCAGATGGGGATCACTGTCTAAAGATATAGTTACTCTAGATGGCATTACCTTGGCCTCTAGCACCACTGTCAGGAATCTTGGAGTTATCTTTGATCAGGATTTGTCATTTAACTCCCATATAAAGCAGACCTCTAGGACTGTCTTCTTTCATTTACGTAATATTACAAAAATTAGACACATCCTATCACAGACAGATGCAGAAAAACTAATCCATGCATTTGTTACTTCAAGGCTGGATTACTGCAACTCTTTATTATCAGGTTGCCCCAATAAGTCCATTAAAACACTCCAATTAATTCAGAACGCTGCAGCACGAGTACTGACAGGAACTAGAAAAAGAGATCACATCTCTCCTGTACTAGCTTCTCTGCATTGGCTCCCTGTAAAATGTAGAATAGAATTTAAAATCCTCCTCCTCACCTATAAAGCTCTTCATGGTCAGGCCCCTTCATATCTTAAAGAACTCATAGTACCCTATTACCCCTCTAGAACACTACGTTCTCTGAATGCTGGGCTACTTGTGGTTCCTATAGTCTCTAAAAGTAGAACAGGAGCCAGAGCCTTCAGTTACCAAGCTCCTCTCCTGTGGAACCAGCTTCCAGTTGTGGTTCGGGAGGCAGACACCCTCACCACATTCAAGAGTAGGCTTAAGACATTCCTCTTTGATAAAGCTTATAGTTAGGGCTGGATCAAGTGAGTCCTGAACCATCCCTTAGTTATGCTGCTATAAGCCTAGACTATCAGGGGATTTCCCATGGTGCACTGAGCTTCTCTCTTCCTCTCTCTTTCTGCACTCATTCATGTCCCATTAATGCATGTTACTAACTTCACTTCTTCCCCGGAGTTCTTGTGCTTTCCCGTCTCGCAGGTTCTTATCGATCCTGGTGGAGCCTCCTGCCATGGTCCTGCTAGATTGCCATTGCCAATACTATTGTTGCTGTGCACCTGTCTGTCTGTCTGTCTGTCTGTCTGTCTCTCGCTCTCTCTCTCTCTGTCTCTCTCTCTCACCCCAACTGGTCGAGACAGACGACCACCCACCTAGAGCCGAAGGATCTGTCCTAGGTTTCTGCCTTTTAACAGGCAGTTTTTCCTTGCCCTTGTCTCCAAGGTCTTGCTCATGGTGGTACTGTTGGGTCTCTGTAATTAATGTTATAAAGAGTTCGGTCTAGACCTGCTCTATTTGAAAAGTGTCCTGAGATAACTTCTGTTATGAATTGGCGCTATACAAATAAAATTGAATTGAATTGAATTGAATAGATGTTCAAATTTCCATTTTCACTGAGCAGTGAAGTCTGAACATCTACATTTCCATGACAACTGGGTCATTCCATTTGTTGATGAAGTTCATGTAATATAAGGGGAATGTGAAGCATTTCCTGTACTGGATGTATTATGTCATGATGAATATACACTGTCCAGGGACACCACATAAAAGAGCTACTGTCTCCATGATGATGTAAGCTGGATGATGGTGGAAAATTAACACAGTTAAAGCAGGTGCAATAACCACATTCATTCATCCTTTGTTTTACTATTGTAGATGTATATATCTGTGTTTTCTGAGCATGGTGCAGTGATAGCAGCAGTATTACACAAAACATCCATGGCTTTCCACCAGGGTGGGGCTGTAACACAGGACAATATCAAACTGGACTGGGCCATTCACTCATGGTGTGCATGTTAGTGCTTCAATGTGAGTGATGGCTGTAGTTCCAGGTAAGGTTTCAGCTCGGCTAGATAGCTGAAATCACTTCAGGATAAAGTGATGGGTATAATGATGAATATGAATATATTAATATGAAAATAGGGATGGTATTTTAGCTTAGACTGAGCAGAATGAGCCATGGAGTCCGCCATGTTGAACCACCATGTTTCTACAGCAGTCCAGAAGGGAAAAACCAAAAACTGGCTTTAAATACAGCATTCATGTTTTTTGCATATTTGTTGACATCACTATAACAAAGTCAGGGCAAAAAACATGGGCATTCAGACAATCCAAAGGTTGTAAACTGATAGAAATTACATTTTTCAACCACATTTTGAAGATGTTTAAAAGCTAAAAGCCACATATATAGTCACATGAACAAATTGAACAAATTTCAATAGTGTAATTAAAAAAGACAAAGTATTACTGATTCCGATTCTGACATCTTAAGTTAGCTATTGTCTAATTAACAACGTTTTGATAAAATTAGCTAGATAACTTAGAATGTGTTACATATACTGTATATGCAGTGTTTCCTCTAGGATTTTTTTTAGCAGTGGGGTCAGGCCTGTCCGAACAATGCCCACCCCCCGTTCTGTCGGCAAACGTTTTACGTATGAAACAGAACTGACACTTCGCTGCAACACAAACAAATATATTTACCATTTTAATGTTTCCAGATGTTTGATATCAGGACGTTGAGCTGAAAACTGACAAGTTGAACGTTGTACATTTTTGGTGGAGCTGTTAGTTTAATAGTCGACTTGGAAGAAAGCGAACGTGTTGACAATAAGCTCCATCAACACAACAGTATGTGGAGTTAAACTGGACAGCCCCAATAACCTCTGAATAGTTCTACTTGTTTTTAAATTGCAATGTGAGCGGCAGCCAGCGGGGGTGCATTATGTCGGCAGGATCATTTAAAAGGCAACCGTGACTACATTGTGCGTCTGCCCCATTTCTGATACCGTGGCGGCAGAAATTTAACAGCGGCGGGCCTCCGCTCCAACATAGAGGAAAACACTGATAGGTCTTTTTTTATCTTCTAACCATCTCACCAAAATGTGGTTGTCTTTTTAACATAGCTTAGCCTAGCACATAGCATATCTAAGTACAGGAAAGGAGAAAGTGGAACGAGGTTTTGACTGAGGCTTGCTCAACTGTTATTGGAGCACAGAGCAAAAAAAGGGCAGGATTTAGTAAAGGTCCCTTGTTATAAGTATAACTTCTAAACTAATCTTTCTAAATGTGGACACAGTGTCCCAGCATGCAGCAGTACCTGTGAGGGGTGGAGGTAAGGTTCAGGGGAGGCCAGGTTGGTCTGGACAGAGAGGCTTTTCTCCAGCAGGGCTTGGGGGAAACCCAGCCGATCGAAGGTGCTGCGTTTCCAGTGGTGGCCATCGCTCTGCGCTAGTGCCTCATCCTCACTGAACGCCCTCACCACGGGTCCCGGTAACGGAAGAGGCAGCGCCCCGTCACTCTCATAGCCATCTTTGGAGCTGCCGCCATGACCTGCCCCGCCCCCCTGCCCCGAATCCCAACTGCTCCTCTGTTTCATCACCTGCTGGGCCTCCCACGCCAGCCTGGCTTGGGCCAGCATTGCCTCAGATGCTGTGCCTGCCAGCTCCCCTTCCAACCCTCCACAACGTGCCAGTTCCTGGGGTAGGGATGGCTTGCGGCTCTTGCGTTTGCGGTTACCTCCAGGAGAGAAAGCCCCAGGACCGCCTGTAGAGGAGGAGGAAAGGGAATGGGTCTGGCTGGACGTCCAGGATATGGAGTCTTCGTAAAGCAACCTCTGGCCTCCCTCTCCACCCTCCCCACTGTAGTCCAGCAGTAGGCGGGGGTCCCTAATTAGAGACTGGCTGTGCTGCAGAGTATAGGACCCCCCATATGAGCCACCATAGCCCCCCGTAGTGCCATAACGCAGCAGGCGATCAGCGGTCTTGAAGCGAGGGCTGGAAGACGACTGCTCCACGTACACAAGCTGTTTGACGTACTCCTTCCCCACAGGACTGTACTCCAGACTCTGGGTCTTTTCTGGACACTTCTGCCGGGTCAGAACCAGCTGGCCATAGGGTGACTGGCCTTGCTTGGGAGAGTGATAAAGGGGGGCTGAAGACTTACGAGCGGGTGACTTGCCGGTGCCGTAGAAGGAGGAGTCAGAGAGGTGCATGTCAGTGGGAGGCTCCTCGTAGATGGGAGGGGGCTGGTACTCTGATGGCGGCTCCTCATACAGCGGGGGTTCATAGGCGTAGCGGGGCGAGGGGGGCTGGGAGTCGGCTGAGGAGCGGCGGTGGGTGCCGGTACCACCCAGCTCAGCCCGCTTCAGGAAAGGAGACTGGCGGCGGTCGGCGTAGAGAACGGGGGAGCCTTCGGGTTCCGAAGGTGGGTTTCCTCCAGAGGAACGGCGGGTTCGTGAGGTGGTGCCCCCTCCAGAGGGAGGACCAGGGGTGGGAGGGTCACAGGGGGAGTAACCATTTCCCTGGTGGGCCAAGAAGCTGGGCTCTCTGTCTGTCACCTTGATCAACATTCGCTCCTTTGTACCAGTGTTCCACCTGAAGGGAGAAGTCCTGAGAAGAGAGAAGGAGAGGAGAGACAGGAGGGAAGAGAGAAGATTTAATTAAGGGTCAGGGGGCAGCATGATAAAGAGCTGTCTGTCGCGTTCATTCTACAGTGCCTGGTAATACTTTAAAGAAGCAATTTTTTATTAAAGCTCAGTGTGCTCTTCATATGTTCCTGTTACCACCTCATATCCTTGGTGCCAGCTGTAATAATCATCTACATGGACTCTTTGCCTGAATATCATGCTCTATTCATCTTATGTTCAGTGTATAGTAATGTGGCATTTTCACACTATTAATGCAAATGAAAATGTCTGCAATGGTGAGCTGATGAAATACAATCCAGGAAGTCCCATTTGAGTAACAGATCTGTGAATTTATAGGCTTATCAGATGACAAAACCTTTTCCGAAAACCACATTCCGACAATCACGTATACTTTACACAATGATTGGTTTGTGAGAGGGGTGTGAAAGTAGGCTTTCAAGTTTAGTTAAGTTAACTTATCTTTCATTGCTTATCTTTCAGGGAAATTCATTCTCGTCAATAAGTTAGCAGTGGGCAGCCACTGTGCAGCCCTAACTCCAGATCAGTATGACTTTACTGTAACTTGAAACTGGAAATGCAAACAGGACTTTATTTAAATTCTGGAAATGGTCTTCAACATGAAAATGAAAACAATTTTTATGGATTTTCTTATGTTATAAACTGCTTTTAATCCATCTTGGTTCATTTGAAGCAAAGGTATTGCTTCAACAATCTGCCACAGCTAATATCCACCAAACACTAGCCTCTGGCAACACCAGACCTTTACTTCAGCGGTTCACATTCACTCAGTGAGCCCTCGCATTTTGCTTGTTTGTCAGACAACAACGAGGGGGAGGGAGAGTGCTGTGGGATAAAGAACAAGAGGCAAACTGGGCGAGAGGGAGTGAAGTAAATGGTAAATGGACCTGTACTTGTATAGCGCCTTTCTAGTCTTTCGACCACGTGCTTTTACACTACTCAGTGATGGCCATCGAATGAAACTAACATTTATACACATCCACACACCGATGCACAGCATTGGGAGCAATTTGGGGTTCAGTATCTTGCTCAAGGATACTTCGACTTGTGGCACCAGGAGCCGGGGATCGAACCCACAACCTTCCGATTAGTGGACGACCCACTGACCCACTCTGAGCCACAGCTGACCATTGCATGTGACATTGATTGCAGCGTTGGCCGCCCTCTGTTTCCAAATACTTTGACACACTGATCCACAAATGCTCAATAGCGGCAGTGTGAGTGTTAGTGTGCTAATATGCATGTGTGTGAGAGAGAGGGAAACGAAGTCAGATATGTGTCATATCTGTGTCAGATATACAGGTTGGGTGGGCAGGACTTTTACAGGTATTTGCAGCTTTGTGATTATTTTTATAAAAATGTAAAAGGTTCAAATTTGGGAAAGCAACAAAGCAACTGTTATTCATACATTTATTGATGCTTATAACTCAGCAATATACGTCTTGTAAGCAAGCTACACCATAGCATCACTTTACTCAATAAGATTATACAGACTATGTGGAACAGCGATGGGAAAATGTGTTAAATATTGAAATAACTGAAGACATGTAGCTGAATGCCAATCGTCCACCAACTCCCAGACCTGAGACTTCTGTTGGAAAACACTTTTTATTACTCCAAAACAGAAGGCTAAACAAACTGGCACTCAACACTGCTGCTGGAGGGAATGTGGAAAAATTATGGATGATCAAGATCATGTCTTCTGGTCCTGTCCCCCCTAACAATCATTTAAAAAACTCTGGCTTTTAGTGTCAGTACAACATTCACATCCCTCTACCTTGGACACATCCCTGATGAGAGTGACATCACCAGGAACTCTGTGTTGTGCTACGGTAAGCGTACTGACTCATTTCCGGTTTACTTCCTGCTCTGTGTACACTGTTTGGTGCTGTAGCTCTGTCAGTGAACGCTAAATCTAAATTTGTTTTACTCGTTACAGCGGTTATTTTCCCGCTTAACATTTAAACGTAGACTAGTTCTACTTAAACACTTGGAGTTTCTCCTTCTTTTAGCGACTTTTCACTACTTTCAAAGTTTTTCATACACTCTAGTTTCATTAGCATTAGCAGTTAGCTATGGCTTCTCCCTCTCCCTCTCCTCTGTCCTGCTCAGTGTGTCAGATGTTCAGTTATTCCTCTGCCTCCTTTAATGATAATGGTACCTATTAACTTCAACGCCAATTCATAACTTCTGTTATGAATTGGCGCTATACAAATAAAATTGAATTGAAAAATTGAATCCCTGATGGGCTGGGTAAAGATGATACCTACCTCCGAAAGATGTTGGCTGGCACCAAGTGAAAAGGCAATTACAAAATGTTGGCTTCAGAAAAACTGCCCCACTGACCTGCCATAAGACTTAAAAAAGAATTAGGAGAAAAACAGTGGGAAAATGGCGTGTTTATTCAGCCAATGAGACTAATTTCTCCCCCCTGCCCACAAAGGTTCAAACCAAAATTCCAACTCAAAAATGCAGTTCAGAATGCACTCCAAATCAGAAGCTGTCCACTTCTCGATGTTCTATTTCATTTTCTTTCTTCTTTCATTTTAAGCAGTGTAGTCTTCAAACTCTAACAGTGATGAGATTCTACGTTTCTTAACAAAAGAAAAGAAGAAGATCTGGATCGGCCTAGTCTTGGCGAGGTGACGGGAGGAAGGTGAGTGTGAGCGTTATGACTGGCAGTGTGTTTGAGGATGGATCATGATGGTTTTAGAAGGTGAATGACAAGTCACCTGACAACCTTGGTTGATACTGCAACTTCAGCCTGTGGTGATGGCTCAGATAATTACCAAATAGGTAGGTTGACGGGACTTCCGGGTTGATGGCTTGCTGAGAGGACGCGTGGAGGGGAGCTCCCGAGTATAGTTCGTTTTAACTTAATAATTACGCCTATAAAGTGACCATAACTTTACGCCACCGACCTTATCAGGTTAGATTTACATTTGAGCTGTCGGAAGGAAACAGAAAAGAGAGGCCGGCTACGAGAAGTCGGCTACTGAGGCAGCAGCGCCGTGGCGGAGCAGCAGCTAACGTTAGCCACGTTGGTAACTGAGCTTGAGAAAACCCGGAGCAACATCACGGAAATAATAACAAAACCACTCTTGCCGATTCAGACAGCACTGGAAGCCGTAAAACGCCAGGTTAAATCGTTTGGGGCTCATTTTACCGAGGCGGAGGGCGCACTTTCAGACCACAGTGACCGGATCACCACGCTGGAAACATCCATAGAGGAAGGAACTTGAGGGTCCTCGGTGTCGCCCAGGACAAGCAAATTTATGTGCTCAACGACGAAAGCTTTACAAAACCCCTGGAGTTGGAGAGATGTCACAGAGTCCTGATGGCCAAGCCGAGCCCCGACGCACGTCCCCGACCATTCATCCTATGCTTTCATCGCTACCAGGAGAGGGAACGAGTGCTCCAGCTGGCGATACAGACATGCCGACTCTCCTACGGGGGTAAGAAAATCCTTATTTTCCCGGACTTTAGTTCCCGGCTGGTGGCCAAGCGTAGCACCTATAAGAAGATGAAAGCACAGCTGCACGAGAAGGATATCAAGTTCAGCCTGCAACACTCGTGGTGTAACGTTACTTCAATGGGTCCCGACACTCGTTCAGCACCGCTGGGGCTGCGGAGGCCTTTTTTACACACCTCGGCCCAGATGTTGGAGCCCGATCTAGCTCTGACCGTTGAAGGTATGGACTGATTTTTCATCCACAGGGAGTCGATCTTGGATAGACTTTCACCCAGCGATCTTTTATCTGTCAGCAGCCTCTTCTCGTTACCATAATGTACGATTACCATGGCAACTGAACACCGTAAGAGCCTTACTCTTTGATCTGACCTCTCTACGGCACGGTAAATGCACAATACTAAAATAAATAAATATAAAAACAATACTCTCAAATCCCATATCCACCGCCGTTACATTCTGTTATTATTACACTATTTTACTTTTGTCCCTTTCTTTCTCATTCAGTGTATATTGATATTGATTTTGGCGTTATATGTTAAGAATTTAAACTTGGGAGCTCTACTAGGTAAGGTAGATAGCTCAATGAGGGTTACAAGGAAGTTATGTGTATATCACAGAAGGAAGGGGGGGTGGGGGGACACACAGGGATGTTATACTATCACATATCAGGATTACATTTCATTCTGATCAGGGGTCACTGGGATGGCTAACTACACTATACTATCCCTCAATGTTAGGGGATTAAATTCACCATTCAAGCACTCAAAAGTTCTAGAATTATTGAAAAGGAAAAATGTTGATGTGGCTTTCCTATCTGAGACTCATCTAGAACCGTCTGATGTCCGTCGTATGCAGAACAAACACTACAGAGTAGTAGCATTCTCGGGGGATGGATCTAAGACCAAAGGGGTTATGATTCTAATGGAACGTAAACTAAATCTGGCAATTGATAAAATTAGTTGTAATAATTCAGGGAGATTGGCTTATTGTGGGGTTTCTATCCAAGGGAAAAAAATAGCCTTCGCAAGCATATACGCGCCCACAACCTTTGACCCAACTAAAGAGTTACTGTGTCTCTCTAATTACTCACTTATTGTATTATTTTTTGATTGTAGTCTAGATAGATCTAATCCATCCATTACGCATTCACAAGCCTTATCCTCCGACGCTTTAAAGAACTTTGCTAAGGACATTAATTTGGTGGATATCTGGAGGATTCAGAATCCTACGGCCAGAGATTACACATACTTCTCCCCATATCATAAAATGTTCTCAAGAATAGACTATATCCTAGCCACACCAAACCTGATCCCAACTGTAGATGATGTTGTATTCTTACCTCGTAATATCTCTGATCATAATGCAATAATAACCTCATTTAATCTGATTTTCCTACAAGGTACCCCTTCCAGGTGGAGGTTTAATACAACCCTTCCTAAAAATGGAAAATATCTCTCACAAGTTAAAACCAA